CTGCAAAATGGGTTTAATGACACTGCCCTCATTTGAGCAGCGCTTTGAGATCTGAGCAGGGCATTACTAATTATGCCCATCAGGGAGGGAGCCCTTGCGGAGGGATCGAACTCCAGCGGGAGCTGCAGTGGGGATCCAAAGAGACGGGAGGCAGTGGGACACTCGTATACCGACGGCGAGGATTATTATGGGACACACGGCAATTCTGTGTGTGCCTGTGTCTCGGGGGGGGGGGAGGGGCAGTGAATGGAGCAGCAGCTGTCGCTGGGTTAAGAAGACATGAGCGTGGGGCAGGATCAGCCCGTTGCATTGAGCAGGGAAGGCTGCTAGGTAGCTATTAAGACAGGACAAAAGAGAGCCAGGACTGAAATGCAAATGAGAGCCAGGAGCGGAACAGCTGTGGGGACTCTTAAAGGGGCAGCCACCTTCTCGGGGCGGGGGAAGGGGAATACTGGGGCCTGGGGAAAGATCTGGCTCTGCACCCCCCCCCCCGTCTATGGGGAGCCTAGTGCAATGTCAGTCCAGTTGGACAGTTATTTCCTAACCCCCCCTCCCCCCAGCACCACACATGCAGCCAGGCAGGGGCTGTGGTAGAATGAGAGTTCCCTGCCCGGGAGCAGAGATCACCAACGATGCTTCACATTCCGCCAACCTTGAGGCCTTGGCTGGGCTGGGCCCGAAGCTGATGGTGTAGCTGCTCTGGTGAAAACCCCTCGTGTTGACACGATGAACACATGCCCCGTTTGATTTGCACTAGTGCCGCTCTGGGGTTAGCTACACCAGTGTGCATAGTGCCTTCCCTAGGGGCTGGCACCAGTGGCTAAAATCCCACTGGGCACATGGCCTGAGATTGCTCAGACTGTGGAAGGGACTGGAGGGAAGAATAACCCTGGGACCCATAACCCTAGAGTGTCCTGTAGGGCACAGTCCTGCACTGGACTCCTGGGCATGGCCTGGAGGGTCTAACAGGCCCCTCCTATGGTGATGCTATAAACAACAACTAGCTACATTCCCATTTCACAGATGGAGAAACTGAGGCACCAAGCAATTAAAATGGCTGGTCCAAAGCTACAGAGGAGAATCGGTGTCAGAGCTGGGGACAGAAGCCAGACAACCCCGGCTCCCAGTCCTACACTCACCCCACACTGGCAGGGGGTGGTTTAGCCACTGCAGTCTTCAGAGCATCCCGTTTTCTTGGGAGACAAGGCAAATATTTAGCCATTCTCCCCCCAAACTGGGATTAGGAGGAAGGATGCTTCGTTCAGGGGCGACCCTCCCACTGCTAGCCAGGCACAGTCATGGTAAGAACATACACAGTCCCTTTCTTCTGGGGATCTCAAAGCCGTTCACAAAGAGGGAGGGAATGGAGGTCTGTAAATTAAGTGACTTGGCCAAGTCTATGGTCCCAACTCCAAGCCTGGTGCCCTGTCATCCATCCCTCCGTCTGTCCATCCATCCTGTAAAGCCCCAGGCAGGAGGGGGATCATGCAGGGAGGGGCAAGGGGGGAGTGAGAGAGGCACTTCAGACTGGAAAGGAGGTAAGCCAGGGAGGGAGACCTCAGCCTGGGGAATGGGCTCTCCAAAGGGGTGGAAGCACCTTCGACAGAGCGGGGCTGTAGGGAATAGTCCAGCCGTGGACCCCACGCACGTGGGCTAGCCTGGGCCAGTGCGACATTTCCATGCCCTGCTGCTGGTCCCTCTGGACCACATCGACCTGCTGGCTGTAAGGGGGCACACCCGGGACAAGTTTGTGCCAAGGCAGCTACAATTCCCTGCTGCCACCCTTCAGCACCACGGCCAGCTCCTCAGCCACCAGCTGATCCCAGAGCACAAGGCTTCCCAGGAGGAACCCCCAGCTCTGCCCAGCCCTGCCTGCCCTTCCCCAAGGCCCCAGCGCCCCAGGGAGCTGACAGATCCCTGCCCGGAGGCCAGCTCCTGGGTGAAGGCCCCACCAGTTCCAGCACAGAAACCAGGCTGGGGGTCCCCTGGATCTCCGCCAGCATGTTACCGGCTGAGCTCTTGACCCACCCAATGACAGCTCGGCTCACTGGGAGCTGCCAGTGAGCTGTGTGCGTGCGTGTACGCGTGTGCGTGTATATGTGTGTACACATGCACGTGTGGGGAACTTTCCCCTTCTCCCAGCCCTGCCGTGGGGGCAGACTCACGCCCGCTCTCCAGTGTGTGGTGCCCTCCCCTGCCGTGCCACATCGCTCTGGACGGGGCCAACTGGGCCTTCAGTGGAACTCACACCCAGGGACCAGAAAAGCCACTGGCTCCTGGGCCAGCTGCTCCAGGAAGGTCTCTGGGTTACAGGGCGTGTAAGGGGGGTGCGATGGGCAAGAGCTGAGTTCCGGCGGGGCGGGGCAGCCCAATCCTGGGCACACGTCTGTCCCAACCTGCACCAACCGAGCCGGGGAGGGAGAGGGAGCGGCTGGGTGCTCTGGGAGTGGGGCAGGGGCGGGCTGGGGATCTGCCCTGCTCACACTACGTCAGTCTATCTGCGTCCATGCGAGTCCGACAGCATCCGTCATTCTGACCCGTCTGTGTCTATCTCCCTGCAAAGGGCGGTCGCTGGCCCTTTAAGAGGGCCCCACCCTGGGAGGGGCGTTACCATCTGGGGGCACATGTGTGGGGCAGTAATGCCCTACAATCCACTTTGTGACAGTGCTCCGGGGAGAGGGGGGGCCAGCGTACAGCCCCTCTCCCCCCCCATCCCCAGCTCTTTTCTTCCCTGCGTCTGGGCAGACCTGTGCCAGCAGCTGCCGAGAGCAGATGGCGCCGGCTCGCCCCAGATCCCTCTCTCCTCCCTCGGTCAATCCTTCAGGGGCTCCAGCAGACAGACATCCATCTGGCACCTGCTGCTCCGCAGGGACTGCCGGCGCAGAGCCAGCCCTGTGCGGGTCAGCAGTGCCCTGTCCACCAGGCTCGCCCTGCAGCGGGCACCGTGCTGTCCTCACCTGCACACGCTGCACCCTCTCCCGCCTCCGCCTCCGCCTCTGATTTAACTGGGAATTGGTCCTGCTTCGAGCAGGGGGTTGGACTAGATGACCTTCTGGGGTCCCTTCCAACCCTTATATTCTATGATTCTATGATTCTATGATTCCGCCCCACGGCCCGGCCCCCACGCATGCTACCGACCTCTTTTGCAGCGACACAAAGCCCCTGTCCGTGGCACTGGGCACAGAACGTTGCCCTGCCAATACTGGGCAAAGGGCGAACCAGATCCAAAGCCCCTGCCTGCCCCTGGGCTCCTCACTCAGCTCAGCTGGGGGTGTGCCGCACAAAGGGGGCGAGCTTCCTCTCACGACCCCCCCAGGCATGTACACACCTACACACCCCTGCCCTCCCCCACCCACACATGGCTCTGTTCTGTCCCCGCCCCGGTGCACACCCTCACCCAGCCGCTCTGCAGCACGGCCACACGAACGCACCCGCTTGTGGAGACCCACTCTCCATGCTCGGGCCCTTGTGTTCCCTGGAGGCCAGGGCGGGGAGCAGCCCGCAGCCTTGGCGAAGGCTCGCTAGCACCCCTGGCTGTAACCTGCCGAGCCTGGGAGTTCTGGAGCTGGCTTCATGCCCCCGATTTTCTGGGCTCAGCCCCCTCCCAGCCAGCTCCCACACCTGCTTTGCATCACAGTGGCAGGGGGAGCAGCAGGATCAGGAAGAACTCTCTAATCCGGCCCAACCCCCCACCCCAGATGGGAGCTTGTGGGCAGGCGCCCCTGGCCTTGAGGCTTGCTGCCGTGACAGCTGGAGGCTGCAATGGGCCCGCGTGCCTTTGCACAATGCCTGATTAGGAGATTAGGCTGCGAACGAGCCTTCCCGGCCGCACGGCTGGTTCTTTCTCGGCCTGCACGCCCCCCGCCTGCCCCCAGCCAGGAACCAGCGCCAGCAGCATCCTCAGCTCTCCACTGCCCAGGATCAATACCCAGCATCCCTGCCAATGCAGCTTCTCCAGATTGGCACAGGCTCCTCTCCCTGCCAGTGCAGACACACTCCCTCTTGTACGGGTGGTAATGGGCCGTGGAGCCTTTCGACTCCTGTTTGTGGGGTTGAATCCATCCCAGGCGCTGCCGGTGTCTGAGAGCGGGTCGTAGACTACAAAGCCAGAAGGGACTGTTGGGATCCTCTCCTCTGACAGCCTTTATAATACAGGCTCAACCCACTGGGAGCAGGGTTTGAATGCCCTGGTGGATTTCAAGCCCAACACCTTAACCGCTGAGCCACCATAGCCGGATAATTCGCAGGCGTGGCTCAATCCACTAGCCACAGCCGGTCACCTCGAGCCGCCTAGTGACAGTGACCAGTTGATAGTTGTCTGGTGGCCTTTGTCTGGGGAGCCAGAGTCTGAACGGGCCAGTGGGGCCAGAGCTCCTGTCACCCAGCCCATCAAGAAAGATGCCACAGGAACAGCCCACCTGACCCACCACTGTCTCGTGCAGGCCCTTAGTGCTCGGGAAGAGGCTCAGGCTGATCAGTTCCTTCTTCCAAGGGAAGCTGCTATCAACTGCAGGCTTCTTCAGGGCTGAGCCAAGTACTAACCCCTGCCCTAGCTGCCGTTATCCTCTGCAAGGGCTACGCCCCAAAACTGGAGTCATGCCACTCCACTCAGAGCTGAAATGCTGCCATCTCTGGGGTGGAACACAGCAGCTGCTCAACGGCACACAGTAACAGCTACACTGGAGTTTAGGAGAGAAAATCTGGACTATAGCATTCAGATGATACCTCAAGGGAAATGTAATTATTTGGCTGGACTGTGGGGGACAGAGCCCTAAAACACCACAAGATCTGTAATGGTCGCAAACAGTCAAGGTCACACTTTACAGCCGATATGCAGGACAGCACCTCCCTCAGCACCATGCCAAAGCCTTGGGCTCATCTCTGACTCCCAGGGAAGAATACCAGCACCACCATGGTTTTCCCATCCACACCCTGACCCAGCTGTGCCGGGACCCCTTGCCCCGTCCCTTCTTGTGTCTTGCACCAATGCCATCACTCACGTTTTGAAGTGGTCCACCAGCACCCCCACCAGCTCCCCAACTCGGTTGTCCTCTTCCGGCTGCATCTTATGGAAGCAGATGACCAGGTCGTCGTGGGTCTGGGTGTGAAACACCACCAGCTGGTCTTGGCAGCTGGTCACGCTCATCCCCGTCACCTGTACAGTACAAACACACTCCAGGTTAGTGACACGCCAGGCCCCCTAGCTGAGGCAGGGTGCGATTCCCCACATGGCCACCAGGGGGCAAAAGGCAGGGCGGTAGCTGGGCGTCTACGGTCTATTGCTATTGGTCTTTCATTTTCTAAGCCCACCCACAACCAGACGCCACATCAGCCAATGAGATGGCAAATTGGCTAGTGTTTGTTCAGCACGGAGATGATTCTGTATTCTGATTGGCTGACGGGAGGAGATGTGGCGGGTCCAGGTGATGTCATCCCCGCCAGATCACATGTTCCTCACTGCCATGCGCCAAGGGGTCCATCATGCCCAGAGACTAGGCATCTCCCCTCAGATCTGCCCCCTGCGCGGCACCAGCTGCTTTCCCGGAGCGCCACAGAGAGGGGAATTTCCTCCAGGGCACAGGAGTTAAGGACAGAAAAGGCCCAGGCGATCTAACCAGTCTCCCTGCAAGTTCAGGACTATTCCCTGCCCCAGCATTGCCAGCTCTTGTGCCTTTATCATTAACTTTGCGGTACCTGGTGTTTCTATAAATCCCCAGCTCCCAGAGTCATGTGATTATGCAGAGAAGAGGAGGGGCTGAGGTCCCTGCGATGGCAGGGAATTGATTTGGTGAGCGATGCCTAGATGATCCTGCCAAGCGACCCATGCCCCAAGCTGCAGAGCAAGGCAGGTGTTTGACGCCTGTCTCGTGATTTTTGACCGTTTGGGGTGGTGACGCTGTTGCTGCTGCGTCCTGTCCAGGTTTAATGCTGTAGTAGCATGGTGCCCTCTGCCCCTCAGTGCTATTCACTGTAACACCACAGAGGTGGCTGCGGGAAGGAGCAGCAGCTAATGGTTAGAGCAGAGGATGAGGCATTGGGAGTCCTGGGTTTAGTTCCTGGCTCTGTGGGCAAGTCACTGCATCTCAGCTTGCTGCTCTGTTCAGCGCTCCTTAGAAGAGCACCGGGGTGTTATGGGATCGCAGTCAGGCGGGACATGGACTCTGAAGAAAAGGACCTTCAGAGATGCTGTACTGAATATCTTGGGAAGGGCATTTGGGATTCTGCCTCATTACCCAGGTCTTGGTTTTCCCCATGAAAGGACATTTTCCAGCTGCTTCGGGATCAACTTCCAGCAACGCTGCCCCTAACCACCCTGCTTGTCTGCACTGGGGTTCAGGAGTCTCAAGAAATCCCACTACTGCCCCCAGCCAGCACTGGAAGGGGGACAGAGCAGCTGAGCCTGGTCTTCTCCATCTCTGCTGTGCCCACTTGGCTTCGATCAGGGCTGCTGGCCGTGGTACCCAGCCTGCTGATGATCCACCAGAGAAGATGGGAGGGCCTTCCTTGGGGGGAGATACCATGGGCACCCCCTGCTACTGCTGTCTTCTCCCTTGCATGACTGACATAAAGATCCCATTGTTCTTGTTTCCACATTCAAGTGTCCACGCCTGTGAGACACTCCCCGTCCCCTGGCCGGCAGCCTTGGCAGAGAGCCCCAGGACTGAGTGGGTCACGGAGGCTCAGCTCCCCTCTCGGCCTGGCAGGGGTCCCGGCAGGGCACAGCTGTGGGCTGTATCAGGGACCCTTGCCCTGCTGTCCCCGCTATGCAGACAGGGGCCTTGCTGTCAGAGCAGCCCCTTGCATCGGACCAGTCCCTGAGGGTTACGGCACCCCCTGGCCCAGCTCATGGGGCACTCACCATGCTCAGAGGCAGGGTCCGCATCACCTTGTACTCCTTCTTGGGCTCCAGCTTGTAGAGGTGCTGGTCCGTGACGAGAATGGCCCGGTCCCTGCTTTTGTTAAAGCGGTTGATCTGCATGGCAGGGGAGACAAAGTTACCTGGAGTTGGGGGAGAAACACAGCCAGGGCCCTGAGTAAGAGGCAGGCAGCCAGGCCAGCCTGCAGGCAGGACTTTGCCCAGGGGTCCCCAGCTCCCTGCCCGCTCCCATGTGCCCCAACCCTGCTGGGGAGGGGGGCTCCCTCCTACCCTCCCAGGAGCAGCCACTCAGTGCTCCACTCTCACGGACACCCGATCCCAAACCTTCCTCACCCCTGGCTGCTTGGAGAAACAAGGGTGCTGAGGACCAGGCAGAATGGGGTCCCCGTGTGTGTGTGTGTGTGTGTGGGGGGGAAACGGCCCATCAGCACTATGGATGCAGGTGGGCCCAGAACTCCTGCTGGATCCTGCCATTCTCCGAGCCGGCGGAGAGGGGGTCTCCCCAGGCTGGAGGGGCTGAGGCAGGCAGTGTCCAGCACACGGTGCAGGGCCATGGCAGGAGGGAGGGGGGCCCAGCCCCCCAGGGGCCCTGCTGCACCAGGCTCCTCACCTTGCGGACATGGCAGGAGAACAGCACCGAGGCAAAGTGCACTTTGTCCTTCAGGGCCTGCACCCTCCTGGCGAACTGGGCGGCCATGACAGGGTTTTCAGCCACCTGGAGAGCAGAACAGAACCGGGGAGAGGCTCCGTCAGGCAGAGAGGGGCTGCAGGGGGATCTCCCCATGCCGAGGGGGAGGCAGAGCTACCTGTGCGGGAGGCGGGCTGATTCGGCACGGAGCAGGAAGGGGCTTTCGCTAGCTTGAGCGCGACTCTGCCGGTAGCACGGCGTGCTGAGCGGCTCCCTGGAGCTAAGCAGGGCAGGAGCTGCTCGGCACTCGACTGGGAGACCCGCGCGGGGGGGGGGCCGAGGAGTCAGCTGCTGATGCTCTTCCCTGTTGGTCAGCACTGAAGTGATACCCGTGGGGAGGAGAAAATCCCACAGCAGGCCCACTCAGTCTCCAGCCCTTTGCCCACCCATGCCCAGCTGGGATCTGTTGCCCCGTGGTAGCACCCTCCAGGCCCATTCCCACAGCCTTGATGCCTCCCCAGCCCTGAGCTCCCTCCTCTCCCCCAGCCTGATAGGCCCCTGGATGGCCCTGGCTCCGTGCCGTGCTTTACAAGCCCTTTGAGTTAAACTGGTGCCCCCACCCCATGTGTTCACTCTCCATGCCCAATGGGCAGCTGGGATGAGAAGGCCCCCGTGCCTTGCTCCCATACCGGTTTGGAGCCGGTTTTGTCGGGTTAGCTGGCACTTGTGAGCTCACTAAAGCCAAACAGGTTTAAATCCAAGTGCCGGTGTCCACCCTGGGAGCCTAGAAACTGGGTCAGGCCGAGGACAGTCTAGTCCGGCCTGCTGGCTCTCCTAGGGGCCAGTGCTAGGTGCTCTGGAGGGGAAGGTGTCGGAACCCACAGGAGCAGATGTGCTCCCCACAGTAGGTCTCACCCTGATCACTAAACACAAGAGGTTGGTTCGAGCCCCAAAGCAGGAGTGTGTTAGCATTAACAATGGTCACTCTGGATAGTCCTGTTAGCCAGATAAACAGCCTTTTGGAATCTTGCTCAGTTCTTGATGTCGGTATCATCCTGTGGCAGTGAGTTCCACAGGCTGATTACACCTTAAGTGAAAGTGTTAGCTCAGCAGGTGCAGCTCTGTATGTAGAGCCAGGCTATGCACCCAGTCTGTGGGCCTGGCTACTCCCTTTGCCTCAGAGCCCACCGACACATTTAACAGCCAGCTTCCTTGGCTTCCTCTCCTCCAACTCATTCCTAAAGGTCCCAGAGGATACAGGATCCTTCACGGCCTGACCTAAATTACGCAGCTGCGTGTTATTACGGTGGCTGCATTCCAGCGGTGTGCACGGAATTTGTGGAGCACTCTGGATTGACGGGCCCAATCAAAGAGCTGTTATGATCCAGTCCTATGGCAAACTAGCACGAAACCATTAACAGCAGCAGCCACCCGCAGAGGCGTTTACTCTCGGCTCAGACACAAGGGCCTGATCCTGCTGCTAGCCACAGCAGTGTAAATCAGGAGGGACGGCGAAGCAGACAGCGTGAGATCAGAATCAGACCCAAATCAAACTCACACACGCTCCTCTCCTGGCATGAAATGACCGGAAGGGGCTTGCAGGGTGTCTGCTCCGCTGCCTTGTGCTTCCTTGTGGGGACCATCCCAGTGTTCAGAGCCCTGCCGGGGTGAATTCACTGGCGGGGCCGGGAGATTTCCACCACACAGGCCCTGTTTGACCAGCAAGTGCCATGTGGCCATGGCGGGGCCAGCTGTGGGGTTAATTCAGCCCCCATGGGCAGGGTCCCGTACAGCCAACGCTTTCAGCCGGCAGCAGCGTGGGGCTTTGTCGGCTGGAGAGGAACAATCTAGCCTCTCCGAGTGCCCGAGCGAGAGCTACTGGAGACAACCTCCCATTCCTGGCGAAAGGCAGGTGCATCTGGAGATGTGGATGCCCGCTGTTCAGGGAGACGCAGCACTCAGAGTGCGGGACTTGGAGAGCCAGGCACAGCCCCAACTCCCCACCCCATGCACCCCTGGACACGAGTGGCGCACATGGGCCCAGACACACCCAGAACATGCCCCGCACGCTCCCACGGAGCCACACGCTACACGCACAGAGACGCACACAGGCATAGACAGACGCCCAGCGCATGCACACAGGCGGACACAGAACTCCTGCTCTCACTCACACAGACACACACAATGCCTGCCCAAAGCACACCCGTGCAGACATCCCCCCTAGATGAACACACAGCCAGCTAGTGTAGGTCTCTGGCCACACACAAACACAGCCAGACCCGTGCCCCCCCCTCCCCGCATTGAGTTCCCTGGAAACATGCTGGCTTGGATCCTCCCGGGGGAAAGGAACACTGGGGCCCCTCTGGGGAGCTGAGCCACAGCCCAGGGAACAGCTGCCAGAGCAGGAAGTAGGCAGCAAAAGGCCGCTCAGTGTAGCAAGGAGGCACCTGCTCCTGGCAGGCTGCTGAGCCAGAGGAGAACAAGAGGCCAGTCAATGCCCAGCGTGGGCAGCGTGGTGGTGGGCAGCTCTTGGTCCAGGTTGGCATAATTGAAGGGATGACCCTGATCCCCAGGGGAGACCTGTCACCCCACTGCAGCCTAGTTGCCAACTAGCCTGGCACATGACCCTACCGAGGAGGGATGGGGAGTTTTGTTTCCAGATCCAGACAAGTGGGGGGCGGGTGAACCCCCCCACACACTCTGCCCACAACCCAGTGACTGAGAGACACTGGAGCTCAGAGTCACCCTGGCAGTACCAACCGGGGAGGCAAAGAGAAGGACTTGCACACTGGCACTCAGCCTGGCACTAGGCAGAAGGGAGCCGCACCACACAGTGGGCTGAGGCGGAATGGAGATGGAGTAGCACAAAAATGCGGCCACTTCTGGGGTGGGACGCAGCTACCGTTTAACATCCCGCAGCAACGTGGCCAAAAAAAAAAAATCAAAGAAAACGTTGCATCTAGCTGAAGCCACAATGGGCGCCAGAACGTACCTCAAAGCTGGAACCTGGCCGGGACCCGATAGTTACAGGAGCGCCCAGGCTCCTCAGTGTCAGATGGGCACCGCCTGCTGGGCGGCCCCGCGCCCCCTGCACTGTACGGGGGTACGGACCCACAGAGAGGAACGCTGTCACTGGTACCGCTCCTGGGGTCTCCTCCCAGCCACACGCTGCTTGGCTTGCGCGAGCCGAGGGACCCCCAGCCATTCCTTCTCAGCCTGGGCATGGGAGGGGCGAGGGGGCAGAGCCAGGAGAGCCCAGAGGAGGAGGGGCACAGGGGACCAGCCCGGGAGAAACAAAGAGAGAAACGGGGCTGTAACGAGAGCCTGTCGCTATGGCAACTGGAGCCTGGCAGCAGAAAGCACCTGTGGGCGTCGAGAGCAGATGCTCGGGCGGGCAGCTGCCTCCCCCGCCCCTCGCCCAGCTGGGAAGCCCTCCGAGCACAGCACCCACCTCCCCCAGTGCTGCTTTCACAGCATGGGAGCAGGAGGATGCCCTGCCCCCTTCCAAGAGAGCAGCGCCCCCTGCTGGATCACCAAGGCCACGCCAATTCCCCACCTGCCTCCCATCCCGAGCCCACTCTGCCAGCGTCACTGGCCCAGCAGCTCCCCGGGCCAAAGACTCACCGACGACAGGTAATCCCGGCCCCAGTTCCTCTGGCAACCCCAGTCTTTGCGCAAGCCCTGCAGCACTTCCATGGCCGCCACCTTGGCCTGGATCTGCGCCATGTCCGAGGGAGGGATGTTCTTCACGATCTGCCTGGCTCGCCACCTGCAGCGAGGGGAGGGGGCTCAGGGATCCTGGCTGCCCTGCTAGGCTCCTGGCCCACCCCTGAGCGCAGCGCCCTAGCCTCTAGGGGGCAGCCTCGCGCAACGCATCCCCCCCGGGCAGGCTGCGAGCCGGGGGCCTGCATTTGCTCTCCTTGGCTTATCGTAAAGCATCGTGCCCGGCTGCCACTGGGCATATCCTGTGGGGATGAAGCAATCACTGCCTACCAGTCAGCTGGGCACGGGCCGAGGCGTGGGGTAGCCAGGGGGCTGTGGGTCAGGAGCGAGGGGCATGGGCTGAGCTGGGGTGGCGGGGGACGGTTGCCAGGCTGCACTGTGGCTGATTCTAGCCTCGTCAGCGAGGGGCCCAGGGGGAGCAGGGCGTGCGTCCAGGGTGCCACCCCCCCGGCGTTACCTGCGGAAGAGCAGCTTGCTGTTCTCCTGGAACTGCATCAGCACCGCCGGTGGGTCGGGCCACTCCACGCTCTTGCCATAGTCGGCCATGCTGCGCACCGCCTGGAAGCGGTGCACCAGCTCCAGCAAGTATGTCTTCACCTTGAGCCGCTTGTAGTAACCCATGATGGTGTAGATGGCACGCAGGTACCGGCAGCGCCGCCGGGCCAGGGCCCCCCGCCACGCCTGGGACAGACACACAGACCCAGTCACAGCTCTGCTGGCAGGGCCCCACATGCCAGCCCCCAGGACCCCACACCCAGTGCCCTGCGGCCATCAGGAGAAAACCCCACGTCCAGCGACTCTTGCGTTCAGAGCCACACAAACCATGGGGCCATCTCCAGCCCCACACCATGTCTCCTCTCTCTGCTGCAGGAGGATTCCAGAGCCCTTTACAAACCAGGCACATGGGGATCCCTCCACCCACCACCAAAGGGCAGCCACCTCTGGGGTGGGATGCAGCAGCTGTTTCGCACGTGGCAATGTCGCACAACCATTTAGGGCAGGAAGTGAAGGAGCTGTTGGCATTGACGTGAAAACGCAGAGGGAATGACGGCAGGAAAAAGGCAGCCCATAGCACAGTGGCTCTAGGGCCTGGGAGCCCAGCCTGGGCTGGCTGAAGAGTTTTGAACCAAACCTTCTACTATCAGAACCACAGGTGGCTCAGTCATGGGGAGAGGCTGTGGTGCATCATGGGAGATGTAGTCCGGGCAGAGGCACGGTCTGTAAGGGAGGACAGGGGTCTGGGGGCGCTGCGGGGGCCCAGGTGGACACAGGCTGGTGTTGATAAAAAAAAAAACCAACTTTGATGTTTCCCAATTGAAATGTTCTGGGATTTTTCATTGTACAAAAGTTTGGGGACAAACGCTGAGGAATCAGGATTTGGGGCGGGGCGGAAATTCCAGTTTCCCATCCGATTCTCCAGCGGCCACCCAGAGACACGCAGACTTGCTGGGGTGCCGGGGATTCCCTGCCAAGCCCCCTCCCCTCCACCCTGGGGGACCGGGCAGTGATGCAGATGCTGGCACACGGGCCCTGAGGACTCTGGGGCAGGCGCTGACCATCAGCCCGTAACTGGGATGCTCCTGATATGACCAAGCAGCTCCCCAGCCAGACACTTCGTCGGCTGGCGGGAAATCTGCTAATGGCGCCACGTCCGTAGATAGTAACGGGGTCGGGGGCTGGCTCCCGCGGAGCAGCAGCTCCAGGGCAGCCAAGGAGGTTAGGGGGCGTGGAGTGGGGCAAGCACAGTCAGGGGACTGGACCCGCAGGGCACAGCGAGCACCTGGGGCCCAACCTCAGCACTGCGCCCCTTCATCGGACCTCGCCTGCCAGCAACCCAGCTCCATTAGGTACCTGCCGGATCACGGGCAGTGCCCGCCCTTCCCTGCCCTCCCCCGTGCCCATGTCCTGACTCCTTCCCAGCGGTTCAGCGCCCGATGGGTGGCTGGGATCAGAAGATCCCGGTGCCCCGCTCGCTCTCACATGTGCTGAGAGGCTGCTGCCAGGCTGCGCTGAGCGTGGTGACAGCCGGGCAGGCTAATCCACAGCAGCTGATGGACTCTGACGTCCTTCTGACCCAGCACAGTCCCCATGGGAGTGGGGAGGGGCCATTCCCAGGTGCCAGGCAAAGCCATTGCCAGAGCAGGGTCTGTGGCACGGGGACATGGGAGGGATCAGACCGCAGCTCACCCCACCCACACGGCAAAGCCCCTGGGGGGCAGCTCTGGGGACGGACGTCCCCGGGTCCTGAGCACACGTGGCCCAACCTGGAGGGGCCTCTTCTCCACTGGCCTCCCTGCTGAGTTTGCTGCTCTTGGTGCCAGCTGTGCGGGGGGGTTCAGGACATGGACACGCCTCTACAGACTCGGCTCACAGAGGCCACCCAGCAGGCAGGTGGGGGCACCACCACCCTGGGACCCGTGCCCCGGCTGATGCCGCCACACCCCGTCCTACAGCGTGGGTGCTGGGAATGGCCGTAATACTTGGCCCTTCTCTAGCGCTGTCCGTGTGAGGATCTCGAAGCCTGTACAGACAGGAAAGAACAGTCGCTCACGTGGGAGCCTCACGCAGAGAGCACGACATCACACACACGGAGGGGATCACTTCTCTTTGCCTGGGGGGGGGGTAGAGCAGCTCAGCAACACCCCTCCAGCACCCCCTCACCTTCTGCAGCAGGAGCACGATGATGGGGATGAGCTGGGCCCGCTCCTGCTCCAGGCAGAAGAGGGTCTGGGGCATGCGGATGAAGAGCTTGGTGTGGCCATAGGCCACGTCATCCTGGAAGCCGTGCTGGTTGATGAGGGCCTGTGTGGCCTCCTGGTCCGTGGGCATGAGGTGGTTGGGCCACGTGTACTCGCAGGTCATCTTATACCTGAGCATTGAGACAGCAAGGTCCTGAGCACGGAGAGCAGCCGGGCTGGCCTCCAGGGAAGGGGCAGCTCTGACCCATGGTGGGGACCGGGGTCAGGACGGAGCGGGAAGGGGAGGTGCAGCACAGGGCAGCAGGATCATAGAAGATCGGGGTTGGAAGGGACCTCAGGAGGTCATCTAGTCCAACCCCCTGCTCAAAGCAGGACCAATCCCCAACTAAATCATCCCAGCCAGGGCTTTGTCAAGCCTGACCTTAAAAACCTCTAAGGAAGGAGATTCCACCACCTCCCTAGGAAACGCATTCCAGTGTTTCACCACCCTCCTACTGAAAAAGTTTTTCCTAATATCCAACCTAAACCTCCCCCACTGCAACTTGAGACCATTACTCCTTGTTCTGTCATCTGCTACCACTGAGAACAGTCTAGAGCCATCCTCTTTGGAACCCCCTTTCAGGTAGTTGAAAGCAGCTATCAAATCCCCCCTCATTCTTCTCTTCTGCAGACTAAACAATCCCAGTTCCCTCAGCCTCTCCTCATAAGTCATGTGTTCCAGTCCCCTAAGCATTTTTGTTGCCCTTCGCTGGACTCTCTCCAATTTATCCACATCCTTCTTGTAGTGTGGGGCCCAAAACTGGACACAGTACTCCGGATGAGGCCTCACCAATGTTGAATCGAGGGGAACGATCACGTCCCTCGATCTGCTGGCAATGCCCCTACTTATGCAGCCCCAAATCAGGATGGGGTGGGATAGCCAGGAGCCAATGGTGGCAGGACGGGGAGGTGCAGCTGGGCCAGCTGGAGCGGGAAGGGGAGGCTCCGCAGAGGGCAGCAGGGAGCTACGGTGTTGGGCCAGGGTGGCTGGGCCAGGGGAAGCAGGATGGGGCGGGAGGGCCAGCGGGGGCAGGTACCTGAGCAGGAAGCGGCCGTAGGGCTGCCGGTAGGCGAAGCCGGCCCGCCGGACCCGCACGTTCTCCAGCAGGCCCAGATACTCCACCTGGTGGCGGCAGCGCTCGGCGTCGAAGAGCAGCGGCGACTTCTGGTCGTTGGGCTTGATGCAGCGCACGTAGTACGGCTCCTGGGGGGAGAGGGGGGTGTCACTGAAACCGTGGGAGGGGCCCTCGAGCGGCTGCTGGGACCGTGGCTCTGGGGCAAGGGACTGAGGCTCTGGAGAGGGGATGCCAGTGCAGGGGGTGTCGGGAGGAGCCCCCAGGATGGCTGGGCAGGGAGCGGGGGGAGCGGTGCCAGGCCAGGTCGTATGTGGGGACGAGTGGGGAAGGACCCCAGGGCTGGCGGGAGGGGAGAGGAGGGTTCACCTGCTTTGGGAATGAGTGGGTGCCCCTCGAGGCCTCTGTCTCCAGAGACCCACCCACGAGAAGCCTGGGAAAGGCAGGGCGGCCCCAGGGGATCCCCCCGCTGCAGGGTGAGCCGAGGGGCGCTGACGGGGCTGGCTGCCCAGGGCCAGCCAAAGAGTGGGGCAGGGGGCTGGACTTGGGGCCCGCCAGGCGCTGGGAAGTGGAGGTGCAGGCGGAAGCCCCGCAGGGCTGGGACAGCGGCAGGGTGCGCTTGGGGCCTGGGTGTGAGCCTTGCCGCCCCAGAGGGGAAACGTGCCCCTCCAAGGGGAGCGACAGGGTGAGCCCAAATGGCTCTGTGGCTCCACAGAGAGCGCCTGGCCTGGGCTCTGCCGGCCACACCGCCAAGCCCAGGGCCAATCGTGTGCCGCAGCACACACACTATCCAGCAGGGGGCGGTGACGCTCACCCCCCCACACCCCCACATGTCTCTTCACAGGGGCACAGCGCAGGCAGCATCTATCTGTGGTCTGGGCAGCCGGGTAATTTCAGAGCTTTGGGGCCTGAGAAACAACTATCACTGCTGAGGCTGCAGTTTGGCTCCAATAAGAGAACCAGCCAGGCCTGGCCCATCCCCGCCCCCTCAGCATGGTCCATCCCTGTCCCCTTGGCATGCCCGGGCCACGTGTGAGCAGGGAAAAGGGATGAAATGGGAATTTTCTGTAATATTTTTATGATGCCACTGCGTGCCTCAGTTTCCCCTATAGCTTGCGCAGTTACTTAGTGGGCAGAAGGGACTGTGTGCTCTCAGGACAGGCCGCCAGATAGAGGTATGACCGTCACCCAGCTGTCTGAGCCAGGCTGGGGCGTTAAAAACGACTGGCCAAGGCTGACCGATGGAAAATCTGAGAAGACGATGGCAAAGCCAATCACCAGGCCACTGAGGCCTGGTGACCAAGGACCCAGAGGGAGGGGGATTTCCCCACCTCTCCACAGGGAAGCTGGAGAACAAGGCCCGGGAAGGTGTGATGTGACGAAGTGGGACTGTTCTTAATGTTTCCTCTGAATAGTGTGGGGGTGCCTCAGTTTCCCCTAGGCAGTTCTTAAGTCTCTAGGGGGTGGGGTAAGGGTGTATGATCATTGCAGTGCCCTAGAGGGCAGGTGTGTGCAGGGGTCTGGACACAGAGAAGGGCCAACACCCTGTTTCCTGGCAACTGATGGCCTGGGCCCTTCCCCCCCCTGCAAGGTGAGAGCTGAAGGGTTGGAGAACAAAGGAATCAGGTGACCACCTGGCCCGGGAAAGGAACAAAGCCCAGAGGAGGAGGGGCTGGGGGGAGTTTCAGTTTGGGGCTGGCTGGGACATGGAGTGAAGTGCAGACGTGGTTGTCTGGCTCACTACCCCCCAAAATGGACCCAGCTGAGGGGTCCCGTTCTCTGCACCTGCAAGCTCTGTGTTAGACCATGTTCCTGTCGTCTAATAAACCTTCTGTTTTACTGGCTGGCTGAGAGTCACGTCTGACTGCGAAGTTGGGGTGCAGGACCCTCTGGCTTCCCCAGGAGCCCCGCCTGAGCGGACTCGCTGTGGGAAGCGCACGGAGGGGCAGAGGATGCTGAATGCTCCGAGGTCAGACCCAGGAAGGTGGAAGCTGTGTGAGCTGTGTGTCCTGAAGACAGGCTGCTCACAGAAAGGCGACTGCCCCAGAGTCCTGACTGGCTTCATGGGGAGCAGTTCCAGAGCATCGCCCAGGGACTCCGTGACACCGGGCCACTGAGGCCTGGTGACCAAGGACCCAGAGGGAGGGGGATTTCCCCACCTCTCCACAGGGAAGCTGGAGAACAAGGCCCGGGAAGGTGTGAGCTGGAAGGCCTCGGTGATCTCAGCTGGGAGCTGACCATGGCGGGCAGATGGAGACAGAGCCGGGGCTCAGCACTGGGCTGACCAAACTGGTCTAGGCTTTAACCTGCAGCTCTCTGGGCTGAGCTAAGGGTTGCTAGGCTGCATGCCAGGCAACCAGTGCCCGTTCTGACAGCGCCGTGTAAACGGCACTGCCCGCGCTTGGCCAGGCGTGTTAGCCCCTGCAGAGTGGGCAGGTCTCCCTCAGTTCAGCTTGGCTGGACTCACTGAGCAGAGCTCATGGGGGTGCTGGAGGCCCAGAGGTTCAGGCTCGAAGGGGCTGAGGGTGCATGACCAACCCTGGCGGAAGAGCGAGAGCCCCGGAGTGCGGCACACTGAAGGGTTCCTCCTAGACACCGCTCCAAAGCTGGGGGTGTAGCCCCGACCCCGTGGATACAGGCCCCGGGGACTGTCACAGCCCCAGCCCCACTCAGCTCCCCACGAGCATGGTTCAGAACTCACCGAGGGGGAGGGGGCAACCAGAGGAAACTCATGAACCTGGCCGTGGGCAGCCAGGGGCAGTCCCAGGGAAGCCGCAGGCAGTGCCTCACCTGTGTTCCCCAACTGAAGTGCAGCCCCCCACTCTCAAAGCAGCCAGGTGGTGCCAAGAGAGATCTGGAGAGGACGGGTGCCCGTGAGGGACAACACCCCCGTCCCTAGGGCAGTCAGGGCCGGGGGAGAGTGTCTCCCCTAGCCTTTCGGGGTGCTGCTGCAGGGAGAAGAGGGGCCAGCTGAGGGCACTGTGAGCTCCTGCGAGCCCTGCCCACCCCACCGCTCCGGTCCTGCCCTGGATGCACAGTGCCAACCTGCTCCGAATGCCCCATGGGAGCTCCCTGGGCAGGGCGGTGGGGGCATCGTCTTGGGGCAGGCTGTGCTGTACGCGGCTGGCCAGTGTGTGTGTCACCACTGCCCTCTGCTAGACAGATCAGAACTGCTCAGCTGTGTGTCATAAGCCCCACACTGCTGGAAGGGATTCTCCTGTAGCTCAGATGGTAGGGGCTGTGTTGTGGGAGCAGGGGGGCCACTTCACAGCTGTCCCCATGGTGCTCTCATGGCTTACAGTGTGCAGCCCAGTGCAACATGCTGTTACAATATCAGCCGGGACAGTGTTTCCTTCTGGCCCGATGGATGGGAGAAGTGCTGCAGCCATGGGACAGGGACAGGCGGCTCCTCCGCTCCAGCTGGGTCGATCCAGGAGACATAATCACGGCTCTGAGCCTCGCTGCAGCTCACACAGGAGCTAAATTTGGTTGAGACATCAGCTTGCCAGTGACAGCATCAGCAGCAGGTGCCCAGGCAGAGCTAATGAGCAGCTAGAGAAGCGGGGAGTGAGGAACAGTCAACCCAGCACCGCCCAGGGCTTGTGTTCTCCAGTGCCAGGCTCAGCCCAGCCCTCCTCCCACACCTGTGCCACAAGCCCGAGCCAAGTCCCATCCCCACGGCCAGCCCAGCAGCCAAACAAGTGCCAGCTAGCTAGGGGTGTCTCCATGCATGTGTGGGTCTGCTTTAGTGTGCGTACATGGATAGTGTGCGTCCCTGTGTGCATCCATCGCACATATACACCTCCATGGCTGTGTGTCTCTCGCTCTAAGTCTGCGTGGATCCATGCAGGTATGGCTGGGTGGCCACGTGTCTACATGTCACGTCTGTGCATACATCTCCGCCTGCCTGGCTATGTCTGGCTGGGGATGCATCCAGACATGTGCCTCTCTCTGCATGCCTCTGCCCATGTCTGTCTGGGTGGCTCCGCGCCAGCCTGGATCCACGTGCACGTCTGTCTGGTCCAGCGACACACATCTGGGCTCCCCGCCCCCAACTCTCTCCTTGGCTCCCTCCCCCGCCTCTCACTACTTCTCTTCCTACCGAGGGCTAATTTTAGCTGCTGCAGCTTCTGGGAGCAGGTTCCCGATCAGAAATGGGAGCAAATGCCAAATGATTCATGGGTATTATTCACTGCTGCCCGTTGCCAAGGCAGCTGGGGTCTCCGCGTGTCTCCACTCAGCCAGACACACGCGCTCCCCTTTAAATCAGTTCTTTATCCTTGCGGTGAAACAACCAAAGGAAACAGCTAATTGAATGGAGCGTGTGCAAGCTGTGGCCGGGGCAGAGGGTCGGTGGAGGGCAGGACCGGGTCAGGGCTGGGGGATGCTGCTGTTCAGAATTGGCTAAACTGGCCAATCTGCCACTTGGCTTTGGCTAAGAACCAGCAGGCAGCCTCTGTCGGGGCCCTCTCAGGGGCCCTCAGCTGCTGAGTGAGCCAGGATTCGCACTCAGACCTGGTTGACCTGCAGGAATCAAACCCACAGGTGGCTACACTCCAGGGGCTAACAGTGCCCTCTTAGGAGCTGGCCCTTTAAGAAGCCCGGGTGGAGCTACTCATCAGTTAGCCAATCAAATGACCCACAGGAGCAGCGGGCCAATCCGGGGAGGGAAGGGAGCAGCCTCAGAGGGCAGAGGCAGGTAGAAGACCTGGTTCCTGGGAAGGGAGGCCCTCGTGGCACTCAACAGCTCCCCCTCTGGCAGGAGCAAGCATGGCATGCTCCCAGACCTCATCCATCCGGGGCTCTCCCACCGTCACACGGGGACGAGGGCAGAAGGATGGGGGGAACCATCCAGCTGTCTCGCCCCTGCCCAATCACCACAGCACCCAGCCACCAAGCAAGCTCACAGGCTGCCGGGGAGCAGAGCGGGTGGGAGATATATGGCTGGGTGTCCTGCCGGCCAGCCATGCTGCCACCCGTGGGGGGTGGCTTAGAGAAGCTGGGCAGGGAGGGGGCCGCGGGGTGGCGGCTCTGTGACTGGAGGGGTCAGTGTAGGACGGGCGAGGAGCAGGGCCTCGGAGGTGCACTAGGGGCAGCCTAGGCGTGTGGGGCTGGAAATGCCAGGAGGCCTGCCCCTCTCCTGGGATTTGGGCCCTTCGGGGACAGGGCACTCCAGGAAGCGCCCAGGTGGCAGACATATTTGGGAAGGGAGGTGCAGGGACACTGTTACAGCATAACCCCAAATGCCAAGCCTGGATCCAGGTTCTGGCCTGAGAGCCGGAGCCTTCCCCTCCGAACGGCTGTTCAGAACTCCCTGAGATCTGGGAGAGGCTGGATCCCGAACCTCAGCCTGCCTGGGCTTGGCTCTGCCTGCTAAGGGACACAGAATCCAGCCTGGAACCGGGGGGAGGCCCCGGGCCCAGACCTATCTCGGGGTATCCCACCTTTGCCAATCTCCCATCCCTACATGCAGCCAGTGGCCACCATGGACCTAGGCAAGCTCTGTGGCTGTGTAGGGCCCTGCTTGCCGCATGACACTGGCCCCAGGAGCCGAGCGCCCCGACTCCCCTGGGAAGGTCCTTCCAGGCTCCCAGTCCAGACACAGGAGGCGGCTAGAGGCCAAGGAGCATCTCCTGTGGGTGTACGGCAGGAGGTGGGAGGAGGCAGCCCAGGGAGGGCGTTGGGGGGGGAACCCCCTTGCAGGTGGGGTATCCTATTGTTCAGTCACATTGGACACTGTGGGACCTCTGGCCAGCCCTGCTCACTGCCAGCAGCAGCCAGAGGGTCCTGGTGAAGCAGATGACCAAGGAGGAGCCGGGGTGGGGTGGGGGGTTACCTTGGAGGCCAGGTTCTCCACCAGCGCCACCATGGAGTTCTTGAAGAGGGTGGCAGCCGTCAGGGGGCGCTTGGTCACCTCGGTGATGCTGACCTCGCCCTCTGGCCACATGTCCCTTAGGACAGGGTCCGTGCTGGGGAGAGATCGTCAAGGAGCATGAGGGGCCGGGAAGCCGACGGTCAAGGACAGGGACACCAGGGTGAAGGGAGAGCACGGGCCCCGTTCGTCTCTGCTGTCCAGGGAGTTACTGCAGGCAGAAGACTTTTGTGGGGAGCTCCCCTCCCGTCCCCTATATTCCCTCCAGCCTCCTGGGCCTTTGCCTGGACCCAGAGCAGGGGTCCCTGGTGCCAGGAGAGACACAGGGGGAGCAGGATCCTGAGATGGAAACGGGCCACAGGGCCCAGATCCTGATCCAAGGCTCCCCAGGTAGAGCCACTGAGGTGGTTCGTTTAAAGGAAGGGCGCCACCCGCTGGCATAGAGGAAGGTGCAGCGCTGCCCAGGAGTTAGGAAGCTCCATAAGGCTGCTGTTGCCCTGTGCAAAATTGGCCTCCCATGTACGGCTATCAACGGCGAGGGAACCCAGCCAGGGTTTGGATCCTGTCCCAACTGCCCCCAGGCTGTTCCAGCTCCAGGAGCTCCCAGCCCATTATTGCTCCCCTCTGCCTCCTGGGTTCAGTCAAGGGAACAGGACTCAGAGCCCCTCCCGCTGGACAAAGCCGGCCCACTGCTTGCCAATGGGCGGCCTGCGGGAGACGAGTCAGGGCTGTTCCTGGCTCCGGTGCCCATCCTCACAGTTAGACCCCTCGTTGGGAGCCTCGGCAGGGAGCCTGAGGGCTAACTGGCCTCGAGACCGAGGTCCCTGCTAGGTCATGGCCGAGACACCCTGGTGGGGGCAGCTGCCTGCACCGTACCTGCTCTGTGGCTCGACAGGGGAGGCATGTCTCAGGGCAGCCAGGCTGAGCCCTTTCTGCAGCACCAGACCCCCTGATCCCGCAGAATCTCTCCTGCTGCGGCTCTCGCTCCCTCTCCAGAGCTGAGGCTCGGAGGCCAGCCCCATGTGCCCGGTGAGGCTCAGCCCCCTGGGCGTGCAGCAGGCCTCCGGAGCCCTCACCTGTTGTACATCAGCCGCTTGAAATCTTGGAAGAGGGTGTCCTTGTTCTTGTCGATAAACCCCTCCACCGAGTACCTGCAATTCAGAGCAACGGGGGCACGGTCACCTCCAACCCCAGCTGCTCCCCTGTGCTATGGGGAGGCAGGTGCTGTCCCTCCACTCAGACCCCTCAGCCCGGGATGGGCTGCAGCTGGGATCCTGCTAGGGCAGACACGGGGAGGGGAGGAAGGGGCTGGTGGTTATCGCACCATGGGGGTTTTGCCACTAAAAATTATTGTGGCACCCTTAAGGCTTAAAAGGAGCAGTGTCCTCACAGGCACATTCTGAAACGGTGGCACCTGGGTCACCTGGTCATGCAGGGAGCGTCCGGTTTTGCATCCTGCCACACTTGGTGTCCTGAGCATGCACCCATAACCCCCTTGGTCCACACTGCAGCCTCCCCCCACACACACACCCTGGGGGATGGGGAGGAGGCTGCCCTCACCCTAGAGAGGTGGCTGACTCGAGCTGCCCAAACGGATGCTAAAGTTCCCGTGGGAGGTCTGCAAAGAGTCAGAGAGGACCCCGGCGTCCTGGAAGCCGTTCCCTCCCCCCGACCGAGCAGGTTCCAGCAACCCAGGGCCGTGCGTGAACGATTGCTGATTGCCTTTGCCCACGCAGAGTCAGAGCTCCAGGGAAGAGCTGGACGGGGCTGGAGAGAGGGTGACGTGACGGGACTGACACCCCCCAATGGCCGAGGGATTCCCCTGAGACCCTCCTCTCCTTTACCCTCCCACTGCAAACACACACACACACTCACCCACGTACAAACACACATACACACACTCCTTCCAGATCCCCCCCGATGTGCAATCGCGCACACACGTGTGCACATGCATAACCCCCTCAGGGAGACACTCGTGCCCACACGCACACCCCCAACATATCACACATATGCGTGTGCACAAGCACGGCCCCTAGGGAGCCGCACTCCCCCCAGGTGCACAGCCAGCGATGCCCGCTCCTGCCCAGCCCTGCGTTCCCACCCCCAGGGAGCCAAGCGCACATGGCCCGGGGCCTGTGCTTGCTCCCCATACCAAAGCTGTGGGCTTGACTCCTCTGCCTGACTCAAGATCCCCTGACACAGGGCGCAGGCCTCCCCCCTGCCCAGCTAACAATGAGCCTTGAAATCTCTGAGCAAGCAGCCCTGCGGAGGCGGCTCTCCTTGTGAACAGCAATGCAGCACCGCAAGGGGCTGTGGGGGCAGCCTCCCCCATGTGCCTGCGTCAGGAGGCTCCTGTGCCCCAGCCGGCTCCTCGCACACTCATCTCCCCTTCTAGGCTCGGAGTTGAAGTCCACCCGGACACCCCTCCCCCTGAGAGACGCCTGGTCCGGGCTAGGAGGAGGCTGGACTGTGAGGGCCCCTGGGATCAGCGGCGGGAGGCATTTGGGATCTGCCCAGAATTTCACGGGACAGTCCCTCGCCCGGCCAGCCTAGCTCCGGGCCCAGAGCCCAGCACATCCTGGCGCAGGGAGGGGAGAGGCCCGGGGAGCCTGCCCCCAGAGCAGCACACTGGGCCAGAGACAAGACCAATTTCAGTGGGGCCTGGAAAAGAGCCGCACACGAGCTGGGGAATGGCGGGCCTGGGGGAAAGGGGCTGAGAACTAGCTGCAGAGCGTGGCGAGGGGCTAGCGGCGGGGTCTGCTAGCGAGGGAAAGCCATGAACCTGCCGAGAGGGTCATGTAGCTGCCGAGAGCCGTGGAGAGAAAGAGCAGAACATGTCAGCGCTTGCTGCCCGTGAGCCCAGCCAAGCTGGGGGGAAGTCTCCTGAGGGGGCAGGGGGAGCCCCTGGCTTTGACTGGAGGATACAGGCCAAAAGCTTGCCAAGGGGCCGGGGATCTGAGCTTTGCCTGGAGAGGCCTCAGAGGGGCCAAATCTGGCCTGGTTTCCAAGAGGGCTGAGCAGTCACCTGCCGAGAAACCAACCCCTTGGGGGCGTCTGCAGGTGGAAATCCTGTCCAGTGTGCAGGACACAATCCTGCCCACCTGCCCGAGTGGGGTCCCTCCTCAGCCTGCCCGGCTCAGTCTCTCACCCCCTGCAGACAGGTACTAAGCCACCAGCCCTCTGGGTCAGCAGGGAGTCCCCTGCCACTCTCCAGACAGGGCCCCTATTGGACAGAGATGCCAGGCCGCCAGGTGGGACCCCGCTGGGCGTCACCCTGACCCCGGGGGTCAGGGGCAGGACTCACGTGACGTTCCCGGCGTAGTGCTTGATGCGGAAATCCCGGCCGAACTCCATGGATTTGTCGGTGGTGCAGAGCTGAGAACACACGGTGGGCTGAGCCGGGAGGGCACAGGCAGCCAGCGTCGGGTGCCCACACATCAGCGGGAGGGGGGTAACCCACCACCCCCCTGGGCACCACTGCAGACACAGGCCCTGTCCCCATTGCAGGCCAGTACCCCATACTCTGGTATGCCTGCCCTGGCATGGGGAAACAGCCCCCGTCCTCATGCCCTGCACCCCCCCTTCTCCCCTGCCCCAGCAATCCCCCCCTCCCAACTTCACTCCCACCCAGTGCCAGGCCAACGAACCGGGCAGCCCCACGAGGTGCCAGCATACCCAGAATGCACCAGTGAGCGACCCTCTGGCCCCCACTCAGAGGAGAGGAACCTCCCACCCCTCCAGCCAGAAGCGCTGGGGATTGTGGGGTGTGTGTGTGTGTGTTAAGGTTACAGGGAGGGTAAATTTGTCCCGCTCCTGCAGAATCCAAGGAGCTCCCTGAGACAGCGCCCCCCTCCCCCAAAGGGCCTTTCCCACCTAGCAGGACCCAGTCTCCCTCCCACTCCTGAGCCCTTTGTCTTCCCCACAGTGGGCGGCCTAGCCCCCGCCCACCTAGCCGGTGGGGCTCAGCCCTGACCCCATCTGAGCCCGGGCCCTGAGGTGCCCGTGTGTGGGGCGTTACCTTGCGGCTGGCGTAGTGCGGGTGCTTGCCCAGCTTGGTGTTCATGGACTCCAGGAACATGGCGTCGGTGACCTGGCCCCCGGTCAGGCAGGCCTCATCCAGGATGGAGATGATGCCCTTGTGCGGCTGCTCCACCAGGTCCACGATGATCTGGTTGTTGAAGTACTCGATCTGGGGGGGGCAGGGCAGAGGTTACCGGGCACGGCCCTGGGGGAGCTCTGGGGTTGACCCCCACGCTGGGGGTGGTCACAGCTTGGCCTAGGGTCCCTCCGTGAACAATGGAACCCCTGAGCCGGGCGCGGGAGAAGCCTGTGTCGGGCCCCTCGGGAGACAACGTCGCTGGCTCAGAGCAGGGGCCGCAGCAGGCGGGAGTTGATTCCCCAGCAGGCGAGAGCTCCCTGGGGCAGAGCTCCTGGCCCAGTGCCCCAGCAGGAGCGGCTCTCGCTGTCCTGCTCCTGGGGGAGCTGTCTGCCCCTAGCCCTGGGTGAGGGTCACACAGATCGCTGGGAGGAGCCCTTCCGCATGGCCCTCTGGGCAGGGACCCCCCACCCTTCCCCATCACGTGGGGTGCTTCCGCCCCCACGCTGCCCTCCGGGCGGGGACCCCTCGCCCTTCCCCATCACGTGGGGTGCTGCCGCCCCCACGCTGCCCTCCGGGCGGGGACCCCTCGCCCTTCCCCATCACGTGGGGTGCTGCCGCCCCCACGCTGCCCTCCGGGCGGGGACCCCTCGCCCTTCCCCATCACGTGGGGTGCTGCCGGCCCCACGCTGCCCTCCGGGCGGGGACCCCTCGCCCTTCCCCATCACGTGGGGTGCTGCCGCCCCCACGCTGCCCTCTGGGTGGGGAACTCCCACCCCAATGGGACACTGGCACCCCCACGCTGCCCCCTGAGCAGGCGCCACCCCCCCATGGGGCTCTGCACTCACATGCTGCCATTCAATGCCTTCCCGCTGATACTCCTCCTGCTCCTGCCTCAGGATCAGCTCGATGAACAGCTGCTGCAGCTTCTCGTTACAGTAATTGATGCAAAACTGCTCGAAGCTGCAAACCAGCAAAGTGCACAAGTCTCACGGTCTGCACCCCTCACTCCATACCCCCTTCCCCATCCCTCCGCCCTACTGTACGCAGCACCCCACCTCGCACTCTGGAGAACACACTGGGCTCCCGGGCCAGGGCTGGCTGGATGTGCTGGCTACCCCATGCACCTCTGCGTTAGCCCCCCCCCCAGGAGGCACAGCAGCCCCCAGCCCCACCCACTCAGATCAGCACAGCCCCTGACCCACCGGCACCTGCCATCCAGTGACCCAGCCCGATATGGCCTTGCATTGGGGGGAAGGAAAGGGGGCCAAGCCTGTGATCAAGCTGTCAGGGGAGTGCACAGTCCGCGGCTCTCCCCTGAACCAGGCCTGGGAGCAGCAGGCAGACGGAGCCACCATCCAGCCCAGCGGATTGGTCCCTTGGCCTGAACCCCTGCGGCCAGCGACCCGCCATCGCTCTCCCTCTCCTCCACGCGTGTCCCCAAGGCCCTCTGCACATCAACAGCTGCGTGCTACCTGGAGCCACTGGCCCTGGCAACCTGCCCTCCTCCCCCTTCCCCACCGTTCCAGGGTCGAGCCACAGCAAATCAGCCCCAGGCGTGACCCCAGCCCTGGTGCATGCTGGGAGAGGAGGCGGTGGGTAGGTCTGGGTCCTGCTGGGCAGGCCTCCAGCTGGGCTGGCTGCATTGCCCGAGGTGGCTGGCTGGGCTCTACCTGTTGCTTTTGAAGATCTCGAAGCCGTAGATGTCCAGCACGGCGATGACGGTGTTCTTGCCGTGGAGCCGGGCGTCGTAGTTCTTCACCTCGATGACGGTGTTGATGCGCCCCACGATCCAGCAGAAAAGCCGCTCGTAGATGGCCTGGGGGAGGGGCGGGGGGAGACGCCATGAAGCGGAAGGTTCCCCCTGGCAGCTAGTCCCAGGGACTGGTAAGGGTGAAACTCTTTCCACCAGGTGTGGGGCATTGTACCTTTCGGAAGCAGGCGTGCTTAAGCCACGCCCTCCGGGGGCGGGGAACTCTGGGTGGGTGGGGCTGGAGGTGGTTGGCACTGGGACATGTGGGGCAGGCTGATGTGCAGGTTTCACTACTGCCCCCTGCTGGATGAAATGTCATGGCTGTGCAACTTTACTGCCACCTAGTGGCTGCTGTGGATCTAAGCCTTAACCCTACTGCAGGATGGGGTGCACCTTTAGCACAGGGGCTGCCGGGTTTTTGCAGCTGAAGGCCCTGGGTTTGATCCCCACTGGTGCCCCAGTGTGGTATAACCAGCCACGTCCACATGGCTGCAGCCACGGTGCTGTCTGGAGTGGCTGACCCCAGGAAGGGCTTTGAGCAGCTCCTGGCCTGGGACCCTGGCCTGTTTCTATCCATACTCTTCCTCCCAGGCTCCCTGACACGGCAGCGTGGGTGCCTTGGATGGAGACGGATGTGGGGCACGTCAGAACAGCCCCACTCCAGGCTGCGGGGCTGGCTGCTGCCAGTTTAGTGACCTAATTTAACGCGTCCATAGTCCCCATCAGCACGGGATGGCAAACTAGCCGGGGTGCCACAGGCCCAGGGCAGAGCAGCCAGAGATGCCCAGTCTCTTGTGGGCAGGGTGACCGTCACAGCACAGGGTGAAGCCTGCCCCACAGCTGCCTGGCCTGGAGAGAGAGAGAATCCAATATGTAGCTGGGGGCGAGCTAAAGGATGGTTCCTGCAGCGGCTCAGCATGGGGGCTCGGCAGGGCCCAGCTCCCAGGTCCTCTACCCCTTTACCTTGGCGCAGGCGTCCCTGGCATAGTTGGCTTCCTTGGCGCTGTGACCCTTCTCGATGACCTCCCCGCCGCCCGTGGCCACTGCACGGTACAGCAGGGTTCTCAGCAGGCTCTCCGGCCGGGTGGAGGTCAGCTCCGCCAGCTGGGAGACCAGCTCCCTGTTCTCTATCTCCACGGCATCTCCCTCGGCGATGAAGCTCACGTTGCCCTGGAAATCCAGCGAGAGAGACGCAATCAGCAGGGAGAGGGCACTGGCTTCCCACTGCACGGGCCTGAGCTGGGGGAAGCCACCGGTGCCCCATGGACACTGGGACATAAAATCATTGAATCATAGAACTGGAAGGGACCTTGAGAGGTCATCTAGTCCAGTGCCTTGCGCTTGTAGCAGGACTAAGTATTATCTAGACCATTCCTGACAGGTGTTTGTCTAACCTGCTCTTAAAAATCCCTCATGATGGAGATTCCACAACCTCCCTGGGCAATTTATTCCAGTGTTTAACCACCCTGACAGGTAGGAAGTTTTTCCTAATGTCCAACCTAAACTTCCCTTGCTGCAGTTTAAGCCTATTGTTGCTTGTCCTCTCCTCAGAGGTTAAGAAGAACAATTCTTCTCCCTCCTCTTTGTAACAACCTTTTATGTACATATCTGCTCTAAGCCTTGCGAATGGTCCTGAGTGGGCATAGAAAACACACCGTGTGCAGAGATGCTAATGCACACACCCCGCACGAGGACACACAATGGACAGACGTCAGACAAACATGCACAGACCTGATGCCTAGAAACGCAGGGCCCGATTCTCCGCTCTTATGCCTCGTGTTGTCCATCCCGAGGGTTAACCACGAGGGTGGTTCACACCGACCAGTACAGGTGTGACCGGTGCCTGGGTACCAGGCTCAGGGCCAACAGAGGGGCAGCCACAGGAGTGGACCCAGCATGTTGTAGGGCAGGCAGGTGACGAGCCCACCCTGTGTCATGTCAGAAGTGGCACAAACTTCACCCCTTGCTGCAAGTCAGCTCAATTTCCCTGCCCAGGGTCAGCCGGCACCAGCCTGCCCGGACGCAGTCACAGGCTAGAAGGGTGCACGGGGCCACATGGAGGTGCACGGGGCCTGGCTCTGCAGACTGAGAGTGAAGGCCCCATTGCCAGGACTTGGTCCTATGAGTGGCCACTTTTAAGGCGGGTCAGGTCACTGCACTGCCCGAGGCTAGGGTGACCAGGTGTCGGGTTTTTGACTAGAAAGTCCGGTCGAAAAGGAGACCTGACAGCATCCGGTCAGATCTATGGACCGGACACCCAACGTCTGGTTACAGCGGGTGGGGGAGGTGCCAGGTCATCACCAGCCATCCCCTACTCAGCTGGGGCCACCTCCTACCTGCATCAGGGGCTGCAGCTCCCAATCCCAACTCTGCAGGCGGGTCCTTCCTGACCCAGGTGCGGGGCGGGGTGGAGGGGGAGAGCAGCGAGTGACAGGGAGAGGACGAAAGGGGGAGGGGCCTTCGGGAAGAGGCGGGGCAGGGGCAGTTCCTCGGGGGGACATGTGGCACCATACGTCTGCGGGCCAGTGTCTGCGTGCCGTCAGGTTGGCAGCTGGAGCCATGGGCGGGGCCCATTCCAGAGCGCTGCTAAGTGCCCTCGTGAAGGCTAACGGCCTGCCAACCACCCACAAGCTCTGCTCCCAGGGTCCTGCAAGACCCGGATCTAGACTCAATCCCAACCCACCCGCCTCCCAGGGAAGAGTCGCTGGCTTCCTGGGCTGCCAGGTGCTCAGCCCCGATCTGCTGCCGGGGTAGGGTGCCTGGCCAGGGCATTCCCGCAGTGCGCCCGGAAAGGTCGGTGGAGCCCAGCTCAGCTTGATGAAGTGCATTTCCCTTGAGCCCTCTGCCAACCAGCCTGGCATGTGTTTGGCTGGGCAGCTGGGGGGGCGGGGCTCCAAGGGGCAATGCTCTGGGAGGGTCCCCTCCAGATTTCTGCCCACAACTTCGGAGCAACTTGAAGAAATTCCTCCCCACTCCAACGAGGTATGACACCGAGCTCAGCACACGCTGGGCAGGGTTGTGGGAACTGAGCCCTAGAAATGGGTGTGTGTACCCCAAACTGACCCCGCCCCCATCCTGCCACGGGCCGAACCAGAACTCCACCCCCATCTCTGCCACAGGTCCAACCAGCACCTGCCCCAAACTGACCCCGCCCCCATCTCTGCCACGGGCAAAACCAGAACTCCGCCCTCCCATCTCTGCCATGGGCCCCACCAGCATCCACCCCAAACAGACCCCACCCCTATCTCTGTCACAGGCTGAACCAGAACTCCACCCCCATCTCTGCTATGGGCCCCGCCAGCACCAGCCCCAAACTGACCCCACCCCTCATTTCTGCTATGGGCCCCACCAGCACCCTATCCCAAATTGACCCCACCACTATCTGTGCTGGCCGGGCCGGACACGGCACAGGGGAAGGGATGTATCCGCCGACCAGGCCATCACTTACCAGGTGTAAAATAGTAGCTAGGATCTTGTAGACCGAGTCAATCTCCTCCGGGCTGAAGCCGATCACCTTCATGGCATCTGCCACAGCCTTGAAGTTGGACTGATCACTGGCCAGCAGCTGGAAGAAGCCGGGGGGGCGGGGGGAGGGAAGAGCAGCAGAGAGAGATGAGCCGACGGTTTCCAGCCCTGGGGAAGGTGCCAGCTGCATGGCCCTGGAGTCCTCCATCTGGCCACAGTTCACACTGGGCCTGGGGAGCTGCAGGGCGAGCATCCTGCACCCACAGCCCCTCCCCGGGGCCTGCCCCTGCCCCAGAGAGACCATCTCTACCAGCAAGGGGATCGCTCAGGCGTCTTGGCCCACTCAGTCCTTGCCAGCAGCTAGTGCCCACGGGTACAGAGCCCCTGGATCCACTGAGAACTGGGCTGAGAGCCAGCAAACTCATTTCACAGTGGCCACCAGGCAGCCAGGAGGTGAGAGTGGAACTGATGATCTACCTAGCGCCCATCACTGCAGTGTCTTGCCTGGAGGTGAAAGGCTCGGTGGCCCTCTGCCTGGCACCCGGGGCCCCCTCTGAGCTGTGTGCAGCAGAAGCCATGTCCAGCTGGATTTCTCCAAGTCCTTCCTGCCCGCCTGCCCTGTGGCTCCTCTGTGCGATGGGGGAACGGGACGCAGAGAGGCGCCCAGCGAGGGGCATGGCCCACATTCAAGGCAGGGGCTGCAAGAACTGTGCTTAGCACTTAAGACAGGGCTTTCTCCCTTCATAGTGCTGGATGCACACGAACCCTTCACAGGAACCATGATTAGCCCCCCATGGGGAATGGGACTTCAGCCTAATGGGAGCCCTGGTGGAAACTGTGTGGGTGCATTAGACAGCAGGTGGCTGCAGCTCCCACTGAAGTCAACGGGATTTGTGCCTGATTACACCAGGGATACGTTTGGTCCCGGAGCACCCCAGCAGCTCCCTCCCTGCAGAGTGTCGAAGCTGCACCCTGCCCGGGCCAAGGGAAGCCCACTGATCTGATCGCCCAGCCATGAGATGCCTGTCGGGGAGCCAGGGCTTTGCTGCACTGACAGCCGGCTCCGCCTGTTCCCGTTCCCCATGGCGAGCCGCCCACCCAGCCCCTGCCTTCCCCATTCCAATGCTCAGGCACAGGAAGATCCCTGGGCCCAGGTTTCCAAGGGACCAGTGATTTGGGGGGCCCCAACTTGAGACCTGTAGAAGGGCCTGATTCTCAGGGTGGGGGCTCAGCACTTTCCACAAACCGGGCCCGGGTCTCTGGGTGGGTGCCCCCAATCACCAGTCACCCAGGGAACCCTGAGGAGCCTGGCGTGGTCCCCCCGGGCGTGGAACCAGGACTCACGTTGTTGCTGGCGCCCTCGCTGGTGAAGCGGTAGGCTGCAGGGTCTCTGCAGAGATGGAGGGAGGCCAGCTGAGCGTCCGAGGTCCCGAGAAGCAGCTGAGGGGGAGAGACAGGGATGAGACCCCCTTGTACCTGGGGCATGTGACATTGCGCCCCCAAGCTCTGGGGGATAGCGAAGACCTGGCACTTGCTGCCCGGCAGCTGGGCTCTGGCTGGCCTCTGAAGGCAAGGGAGCTCGCCCAGCAGAACCCAGGCGAGTGGGTGTTCCCAGGGAAGGGGCAGCCGGAGAGGAGGCAGGGAGCTGAGACCCAGCGAAAGGACGGGGGGTCAGGGTAGTGAGGTGTTGGCTGGCGAGGAGGAGGAGCAGGACTGTGGTGCTGAAGGTGGGAGGAAACTGGCCTAGCAGTCGGGTGACCAGATGTCCCGATTTCATAGGGACAGTCCCGATATTTGGGGCTTTTTCTTATACAGGAGCCTGTTACCCCGCACCCCGTCCTGATTTTTCACACTTGCTGTCTGGTCACCCTACCTAGCAGCCTCAGCTCTGCCCTCCCAGCCCAACCTGTGCGGGGGAGCCAGGAACGGCTGGGCCCCATCCTCAGGGCGGCCGACTAACGTGCTCCCTACTGGGCCAGGGCTGAGCGAGAGCCAAAGGAGGCGGGCGGCTGCAGCGTGCCACAGAGAGTGTGGCTCAGCAAGGTGACGGCACTCACTTCCCTGGCTCCTCTGAGTCACCGGCCTGCGGTTACCCGCCTGGGGCCCGGCGCGCTATAAATAAGGGACACGCAGCAGCAGCGGAAGCCGCCGGGGCATCGCCGGCAAGTCCCTGCACCCAGCACAGCCCCGTTCTGCACTGAGGCCTCTGCAGCACCCAATTCCCCGGGCGAGCGGGATCCTCCTCTGCCCCCAGCCGGGCAGCAGCCGGGGGCCTGAGCGCATAGGACTGGGGCTGACCTGGGAGCAAAGCTTCCTGCCTGGGCACAGTCGGCAGGAAACCCACAGGATGTGCCCCTGTGGCTGGTGGGGTGGGAGCCCATGAACCTTCCCCACTTCCCCCTTGTTCTCCCTCCCTCTCTTTACTGAGGCTGGCTGGGCTGCTGCCAATGAACTCATCGCAGGCTGGCTCTGCCTGGGCACCACCCCCAGCCGCTCCCTTCTGCCTTGGCACCTGCAGCACACCCGGCCAGCTCTGCCAGGGCATCCTGACATTCCTGCAGCTTGCGCCCAAGCTTACTGCTGGGGGCGGGAAGCCTAGAGGCCCTGGCTGAAACCAGACTGGCATCGGGCCCCACTAGAGAGACCTGGGTGGGTTCTGGGGGGCATTTCCCTGTTCTACTGATGAGCGCACTTCCCATCCATCAGTCATCTTTATTTAGTCACCTCCTTATCCCCTCCCCTTCCCCTAGGGAGCCAAACCCTGCAGACTCCCGGGGATCCCCCCCGCACCACGGACTGCACCGTTGCCCCAGGATTCCCCCCCCGGTTCACCTGGTAGAAGGAGTGGAAGTTCCTCTCGCCTGGCTGCTGGTGGAGGATGCGAGACTGCAAGGGAAAGCCCAGAGGAAGTCAGTGCCTGCGGGGGCCGTGTCTCGCAGCCCCAGGCCGGTCCTTGCCACGCACCATCACTGTGGGTCCCATGCTGGCACACACAGCTCAGCCCCGGTTGCTAAAGAGTCACCGCCAGCTGCCAGATTTGCTCCAATCAGAGACAATGGGCTGGTGAGACCAGAGAAATCCCCTTGTCTCAAAGGACACACCAGTCCCTGGTAAAGGAAACTCCACACCCAGAGCGCTGGCAGCTGAAACAGGGTCGGTCACTCCCTATGCCTCAGGGAGCCTCTCCGGCAGGACGGCCATTGTCTGCCCTGGGCTTCCCACCTAGCCCCCTTATTTTGCTGCAGGATGAAACCAGCCCTTCAAGGTTCATGCAGCAATGTAGCAGCCATCCTGGCCTTCTGGGTGGGAGGCCCTGCTGAGGTCCTGGCCACCGGGGACTGTTCAAGAGTTGGTCCTCTTTTTCAAGAGAGCAGAGGCGTTAACTCCAGTGTCCTGGCTAAACGCCGGTAAGTTGCTACAGCCTGTCCGCCTCAACTCTCCCTGCAGCATGGATCCAATGGCCGTCTTCTCTTCCTGCCCTAAGCTGGGGGGTACACTAGTAAACAGCTGCTGCGTTGCCCCCAGAGGTGGCTGCATCCAGTGAGGGGTGAGACGATTTCTGTGTGTGCAGTGCTTTGGGATGAAAGGCATCCTGGGAATGTCAGAGACTAAGGGCAGGCCTGGGAGGCAGTGGACCAGAACTGAGCCTGTCACTGAGAGGGGCAGAAGAACCAAACAGGAGACTCGCGAGCCAGCTCCAGGAGAGCTCACCAGAAGGGCTTGTTGCCCTTCGGAATGCACAGGGTCTAGGATACTTCGCACTCGGGGAGCACATTTCCTGGGGGGATCTCAAAGCACGTGACAAAGGCGGGTCAGCGTCCTTCTCTCCAGAGGGGGAAGTGGGGCCCGGACATGATAGGGTACCACAGCACCCCAGCGCCAGGGCCTGTCTCCTGACCCCCAGCCCACACCACTAGACGACACTATCTCTAGCGTGAGATCCCCTAGGAGGGCCGCACGACCTCCAGGCCATTGGATGCTTAGAGGTGATGGCCACTGGGCTGTCTCCCAGCCCAGCAAGGACTGGTACCACGCCTGGATGCAAGGCCCAAAGGCCACTCCTCCTGACCACAGCAGGCCGCAGGCCCCAGATGCCTTTCCCCTGCCATCTCTTCCCTTGCTCCGGGGCCAGTCACAGGAGCTAGCCTCCCTTCCGGCAGCCTCCTCCATCTGAGATCTCTCAGCCCCTTGGCTGAAATGTCAGAGCCCTTTCCAGCCGGGTCTGATAACCGAACAGGGCTGCCCTGCCCGGAAAGGGGCAGGCCGCCCTGTGACGGGAGGGCACAGGGACCACGCTAGCACACCGCGATTTCTAGGGTTTATCAGAGCCGACTCCGGCCAGGCGGGAGCTCTCAGCCAGTCCAGAGAGGAAAGCCCAGCTAACGCCCCCCAGGGTGGAGCTGTGGAGTACCAAGGTCCCTGCTCTCCTTCAAATACAAACAAATGACAGAGGAGTTGCTTGCTCAGGAAGACGTGCTGAGGAATCTAGGGAGGGTCCCCATGTTCCTGAGGCCTGGCCCTGCCTGCTAGGTACTTTCCAGCGCAGCTAGAAGAGGGCCGATCTGCTTGGAAAACATCCAATTATCTCCCCAGAAGGCACCTCTGGAAGGCCACATTCTGCGCCTACTCCCCAGACATGGACCTGCCCCGGGCACAGCCCACTGGGCCTCTCAACCCTGCAACGTTTCTGTCCCCCCGCCAGGGGGGAAGGGGTGATTTGATCCCAGCTTCTAAGTCCCAGCATGGGGAACAGGTATTTAGCAATGGGCTCTGCAGTCTAGCAGGCAAAGGTCTCACGCCATCGGATGGCTGGAAGTTGAAGCTAGACACAGTCAGATTGGGAAGAAGGTATCAGTTTTGGACGGTGAGAGTAATTAGCTATTGGAACAATCGGCCAAAGGCCGGGGTGGAGTCTCCATCACCAACAATCTTTCAACCAAGAATGGAGGTCTTTCTAAACCATCTGCTCTAGGAATGATTGTGGGGCAGTCTCTGGCCTGGGCTAGACAGGAAGTCAGACCAGATGATCATGATGGTCCCTTCTGGCCCTGGGATCGATGAAGGACACGGAGCAAATGGTGCTTCATTTAAGGAGGAACTGAGTCCTTCCTCCCCTTACCACAGCCCGGGTTAAAAGGAAAGGGGCTGCCGGAGAGGGGCTCTTCCAGCCCAGGGTAACGGTGACTCTCTAGCGAGGGAGGAGGGGGCTCGAGGCTCATACCCCATCTGGAGGCATGGCAGGGTGAATTATGGCAAAGCCCGAGCTTCTCATAGCCACGACTTCTCAGCCTCTTCCACCCAGACCCCGCGACCTGACCCGCACGCGAACCAGCCAGATGCCGTGCCGCAGGGGTACTGCTCTGAGCACTGGGCCCGTGGTGCCCACCTCCATCCTCTTCACCCGGGAGTGTACATTACCCGTCCCCCTGCTTCCCTTCCCCTCCGCAGCCCCAGAGGCAGGCCCAGGGCCGTACCTTCTCCAGGAGGTAGTTGTTGATATGGCCACCGGTGGGGTCCCCCTTGAAGTCGAAGTTGATGTCCATGTATTTGCCGAAGCGGCTGGAGTTGTCATTGCGGTTGGTCTTGGCATTGCCGAAGGCCTCCAGGACGCAGTTGGACTTGAGCAGCACGTTCTTCACCCTGGGCCAGGCGGGAAGCAATGAAGGGAACGTCACAGGGGGCCAGGCTGCGTTACCCCCCAGAATCGGGATTGGCACGTCCATAGGCTTGCAATGAATGAACCCCCCGCTCCTATTTGCACCCAGGGACAATCCGCAGCACTTGCCACCTCCTGAGGGTGGTGGCAGCTGTTCACAGGGAGGAAGGGACTTGACCAAGATCACCCAATAGGTCATGGGCAGAGCTGGGAACAGAACCCAGGTCTCCTGAGTCCCAGCCCAGTGCACTGGCCACAGCCTCCCAACCGTGCCAGGATGCTGCTGTGACCTCTCACCTCTCCACCTCTTCCCTCTGGCTGGGGTTAGTGATGGCCGCAATGTACTGCATGATGTATTTACTAGCTTCCGTCTTCCCAGCACCACTCTCCCCTGCAAGACAGACAGACAGGATGGGAAGAGGACAGCAGGACGGGCGAGGCTTTGCTGCCCTAGGTTACTGCCCACCTCCCCTGGCACACATCTAGGAGGTCAGAGGCCACTTGTTAGCTCCCAGGCACCATGTTGGTGGTGGTGGTGGGGGGGTTATGACCCCGGCGGCTGGTGAGCTCAGGGCTGTAGCACAGAGCCTTCGGTACCAGCACAGCCTGCAGGAGGACAAGCCTCTACCAGCCGTCCCTTGTGGCCAGCCCTGGCCTGGCAGGGCCCTGTCCGCCGGGCCGGTTCAGTCCTTGTTCTCATGCAGATTTGCTGGTGATGGGCTGTCAATATTATGGACATTAGGAACTGCCCTGAGGCTGCTGAACTCAGCTCTCGGATGGCCAGGCATGGCCATAATTGAACCGCTGATCTTGCAGGGAAAGGCTCTGGCCCCCAGCTGAGCAGGCAGGGTGGGAGCAAGGTGACGCCTGGGGGAGGAGGGTAGGCAATGCCATCTCTACACTGCTGGCTTCCAAGGTGCCCTGTGGGCAAGGAGGAGCGGGTGCAGCGCTGCCAGCCCGATCCCAAGGGGACGTTTGTTCACAGCCTGAAGCCCCAGATGACTCCAGCTACTTGGGGGTTCCAGCTCAGGAGGGACCCAAGACTAGAATTACAGGAGCACGTGGGGTCAAGGGCTGGTCTAGCTGGGGCTGCTGCAGAATGGGCATCAAATCACACCAGGACAGGGGCAGCAGGGGGCTGTGGACCGGGACGGAGGTGCCTCAGCAGAGCTGGGTGGGAGCCCAGCATGTCGGAGTGATGCTCCATGGGGTGGCGCTGACAAAAATCACAGGAGGAGCCGGGGTACATGCTCCTCTTCCCCTTCTACGTGAGTGCGTGTGTGGGACTGACAGACAGACAGAGGGGTTCTGGCTGCCACTGCCCACTCCAACCTGAGATGACGATGCAGGTGTCTTTGGCTCGGCGTTTCATGGCCTTGTAGGCGGCGTCGGCCACGGCATAGAGGTGCGGCGGCCGCTCGTACAGCTCCCGGCCCTGGTACTGCTCGATCACGTCCTTCCCGTAGAGCTGCGTCTGCTTGTAGGGGTTCATGGAGACCACCACCTCACCGATGTAGGTGTAAATTCGCCCCATCTCGAACCTGCAGGGACCAAACCCGCTCAGGCTACAATGGAAACGCCGCAGCCACCCGGCCTCACGCATCGCCCCCGAACAAGGACTGTCCCTGGAGCTTTGCCTTCCAACAGTTCATACCCCCACGGAGCGGCACTGCCTGCCAGACTATGGAGCAGGACCCCTAGGGCATAGTCACCCCGCAGGGCGCTGCCCGTCTGATCCACGGAGCAGGGCCCCTACGACACAACCACCCCGCAGGGCACTGCTCGTCTGATCCACGGAGCAGCCACCCCTACGACACAGCCCTCCCGCAGGGCGCTGCCCGTCTGATCCACGGAGCAGCCACCCCTACGACACACCCACCCCGCAGGGCACTGCCCGTCTGATCCGCGGAGCAGCCACCCCTACGACACAGCCCCCCCGCAGGGCACTGCCCGTCTGATCCACGGAGCAGGGCCCCTACGACACAGCCACCCCGCACGGCACTGCCCGTCTGATCCACGGAACAGCCACCCCTACGGCACAGCCACCCCGCAGGGCACTGCCCGTCTGATCCACGGAGCAGGGCCCCTACGACACACCCACCCCGCAGGGCACTGCCCGTCTGATCCACGGAACAGCCACCCCTACGGCACAGCCACCCCGCAGGGCACTGCCCGTCTGATCCACGGAGCAGGGCCCCCTACGACACAGCCACCCCGCAGGGCGCTGCCCGTCTGATTCACGGAGCAGCCACCCCTATGACACAGCCACCCCGCAGGGCGCTGCCCATCTGATCCACGGAGCAGCCACCCCTACGACACACCCACCCCGCAGGGCACTGCCCATCTGATCCATGGAGCAGGGCCCCCTACGACACAGCCACCCCGCAGGGCACTGCCCGTCTGATCCACGGAGCAGGGCCCCCTACGACACAGCCACCCCGCAGGGCGCTGCCCGTCTGATCCACGGAGCAGCCACCCCTATGACACACCCACCCCGCAGGGCACTGCCCGTCTGATCCACGGAGCAGGGCCCCCTACGACACAGCTACCCTGCAGGGCGCTGCCCGTCTGATCCGCGGAGCAGCCACCCCTACGACACAGCCACCCCGCAGGGCGCTGCCCGTCTGATCCACGGAGCAGCCACCCCTACGACACAGCCACCCCGCAGGGCACTGCCCGTCTGATCCACGGAGCAGGGCCCCCTACGACACAGCCACCCTGCAGGGCGCTGCCCGTCTGATCCACAGAACAGCCACCCCTACGGCACAGCCACCCCGCAGGGCACTGCCCGTCTGATCCATGGAGCAGGGCCCCCTACGACACAGCCCCCCCGCAGGGCGCTGCCCGTCTGATTCACGGAGCAGCCACCCCTATGACACAGCCACCCCGCAGGGCGCTGCCCGTCTGATCCACGGAGCAGGGCCCCTACGACACAGCCACCCCGCAGGGCACTGCCCGTCTGATCCGCGGAGCAGCCACCCCTACGGCACAGCCCCCCCGCAGGGCACTGCCCGTCTGATCCACGGAGCAGCCACCCCTATGACACACCCACCCCACAGGGCACTGCCCGTCTGATCCACGGAGCAGCCACCCTTACGACACAGCCACCCCGCAGGGCGCTGCCCGTCTGATCCACGGAGCAGGGCCCCTACGACACAGCCACCCCGCAGGGCACTGCCCGTCTGATCCACGGAGCAGGGCCCCTACGACACACCCACCCCGCAGGGCGCTGCCCGTCTGATCCACGGAGCAGCCACCCTTATGACACAGCCACCCCGCAGGGCACTGCCCGTCTGATCCACGGAGCAGCCACCCCTACGACACAGCCACCCCGCAGGGCACTGCCCGTCTGATCCACGGAGCAGCCACCCCTACGACACAGCCCTCCCGCAGGGCACTGCCCGTCTGATCCACGGAGCAGGGCCCCCTACGACACAGCCCCCCCGCAGGGCACTGCCCGTCTGATCCACGGAGCAGCCACCCCTACGACACACCCACCCCGCAGGGCACTGCCCGTCTGATCCACGGAGCAGGGCCCCTACAACACAGCCCCCCCGCAGGGCACTGCCCGTCTGATCCACGGAGCAGGGCCCCTACGACACACCCACTCCGCAGGGCACTGCCCGTCTGATCCACGGAGCAGGGCCCCTACGACACAGCCACCCCGCAGGGCGCTGCCCGTCTGATCCACGGAGCAGCCACCCCTACGGCACAGCCACCCCGCAGGGCACTGCTAGGCTCTCTGATGGAAGTATACTGCCAACACGGCTTCTTGTACCTTCCTGTGAAGCAGCTGGCTCCAGCTCCAGCTCCGGCTCCGGCTCTGCTGGAGACAGGGTTCTGGGCTGGCGGGACCCCACTCTGATCCAGCCTGGCAATTCCCTGCTCCCCTCTCCGGAGCTCCGCCCCCCTTCATTGACCAACTCCCCCACCCCCTGATCAGCAGCGTTCCTAGGCCGAACTCCAGAACCAGCACCTGGCTCACACCGGGCCATTGCACTCACGGCTGGTCCCTCCATCCCTGCCCTGGAAACAGCTTGTTCACCAGCGACCTCACTGAGTCAAAGCAGGCCACTGGGTCGAGACTGCCCCAGCTGCCGTGGCTGGGGTTCTGTGGGGATTGGTACCATGCTCCCTGTTTGGCACCTCGGTACCACTCATTCCTGGGTTACTGAACACCCAGTGTCCCTGCTTCTAACCCAGCAGTGGGCAGTGCTCCACTGGGCATGCAGAAGGGGCACCCCATTCCCATGGGACCTGAGCTTGTCTTTAAAAATGGTTCTAGCCCTGCTAGTTGGGAGGGGGGGCCTTTTGAGCTGCAGTCACTGGGCAGATGGGGTACATGCTGGAGGTGGGGAGGGCTTTAATCCAGGACGTTAACGATCGACAATTGCTGGGTACAGCTAGACGAGCTCGCTCCATCACAGTGGCAGGGGAAAGGTTGGCTTGTACACATGGAGGACTGGCAGCCACACGCCAGGCAAGGTGTGGGTGTGTCACGCTGTTAGCTCTGTGCTCGTAGCTGCTGGTTGGGGGTCCCTGCAGGGCCAGTGAGATGGGTGGCAGGAAGAAAGGGGTGAGAGAACAGAGAGGGACAGAGGGATCGTGCGCTGGCCTCCAACTGAGTCAACTCACACCCACCACGAGGGCCTGGGAGGAGGGGACCGGCTGATGAGGGGCCTGGAAGTGCTTCACACTGCAATTCTCTGGTGGCCCGGCTGCCTCGGCGCTCGGCCTGCCTCGCACGCGGCCTTTTTGCAGCCGTGGCCTCTTGCATTTGAAATTAGCAAGGCATCGGCAGGGTGTCCCATTCGCACTTCTAACCGCATGGCGTGGCCGCGGGCGCACTTCAGACACGAAGCCAGCCTCCAGCCACCACCAGCATGCTCCTGGCCCCAGCTGCAACCCCATCTCTAACCGGACCTAGCCAGGGTGCACCAGGCATGCTCCTGCTCTCCCTGGCCCCCTGGAGCCATCTGCTGTCTCTCGGTTCTTATGGGGGCCCGCCACCATGGCCTCTGAGCCCCTACCTAACTGAGTTCTGCTGGGCCCCATCTGCCTGGGGTGTGTCTGTGTGGGAAGGAGGGAGTGGGCTATCGCTAAGGGTGGGCTCCACGGGTGAGGTCCCAGGAGACACCGAATCCACCCAAGGATGAGGCCGTCCCACTTGCAGACACTGAGAGACAGGGGAAAGCTGTGCAGGGGTGGCTTATCCCACATCCTGCGACTGTGGCTTCTCACTCCTTCCTCTGAAGCAGCTGGCGCCAGAGACACGAGCCCAGACTACATGCGCCTTGGGTCTGATCCAGCCTAGGTCCCTGTGGCCTGGCCCTTGGCTAGCACGGACAACAATCAGCACATTCTGATGGACTGCAGCATCTCTGGGATGCGTAGGGGCTGACAGAGTGCAAAGGCTTCTGGGACACGGAGGGGGGCAGAGGATTCTGGGGTCACAGGAGAAGGATGGCTTGGGGGCCCCAGCAGCGGCAAAGCCGGCTCTCCCTGGGACGGGAGAGGTGTGTGTCGGGAGGGGGAGCCTACTCGGCAGTGGTGAAACCAGCTCTTTCCTGTAAACAGGCAGAGAACCAGGAACTCCCTCCCCGTGAGAACTCGGCCAGCCCGGAAGGGTGTGACTCAGAGCAAACCTGGCTGCTCCCCACCTGCTGGCTCTGTGCTTCAGCAGGGGGACATGCACTGGGAGATAAGTGAGAGCCGGGCGAAGCAGGCCCTGATCTGGATGTCTCGACCAAGGCCACAAGCAATCTGGAGAAGGGCCCCGGCACTCCACAGCCATCACTGTACCCACACGCTGCCACCATGCAGGGCTAGCTCTCCTATGCCCAACTCCAGAGACACGGGCCCCATAGTCTGGGTAACAGATCTCCTTGTCCCAGGTCCTTCACCTTCTGTCCCTTTATCCAGGGAGCTCACCGGGTTGCCTGGTCCAGCACTCCCCTTGCCTCCCTGCTGTGGGCAATTCCTCCTGATTGCCCACAGGGCTCTTCCTTTAAGCTCCTTGCCGGAAGCCCACCTCCTGCTCCCGGTGTGTCTGGTTGGTCTGAGTAGCCCCTTCCTGGCTTGCAAGCCTCATTATCTCCTGACCCCAGCTGCAATTCCATCTCTAACCAGATTTAGCCAGGGTGCACCTCTTCTGCACTTAAAGGGACTCAGTCCCCCTAGGCCAGGGAGGATCTCCTTCAGCTGCAGCAGTATGAGGGGCTTGTGATCCGACACACAGTTGAGTGGTTCTTGTGTCCCACCCAGCAGCACGTGTACACGCTAGCCAGGACATAAAACAGTGTGGCCGTTGCGTCCCACCAAGTCCAGCCCAGCACCGAGCTGTTTTTCCAGGGCTGGCTGCCCTTTGCAGAGCTCCCAGCCCCTGGAGTGCCTCTCACTCAGGATGGCCACACAGGAGTCGTGGCTGGCAGCCAGCCCCGATGGAGCTGGTGAGATATCGGCACAGACAGCAGTGCCGGTTTGGTGCGGGAGCCCAGAGAAGAAATGAAGGCATGCCAAGGGAAGCCCCTGGTCCAAGGAGGAAAGCACAAGGATCTGGCTGAGTTTAGAGGAAGAGGATGAGCAGATGTGTGTGTGGGGAGGGGGGAGTTGGAGGGAAGGAAGGGAGATAATCTGTCCCCAAAATCCTAAAGCCGGCCTGGATGGGATGATGACTCGTTACTGACACCTGGATTCTATGGTTGGAACATTCCAGTCCCATGGTGACACTGGAATCTTAAGTAGTTGGGACGATCAGCTGCCCAGCGACTCAACTGGAGCATCCGGCAGGCGAGGAGCCGCCCTAGCGAAACCAACAAGCATGATGCTTAAGGCAGTGTCAGTGGTGGTGCCTTTGAGCGTGTCATGTCTGGCTGGCCCCCTGGTATGGGGGAGGTAGAGGGGAAGCTGCTGTTCTCCCTGCCTCACAACACAAGAGCAAAGGATTGAAATGTGGCCAATCCAAAACGGACACGAGGAAACACATGTTCACACAAAGTGTAATAAGCTAGTGGAACTCATGGCCACAGGAAGTTGTTGAGGCCAAGAGCTTAGCACAGTTCAAGGAGGGGGTTTTATGGAGAACAGGAACATCCAATGTTATCACAGTGCACCTAGGATCAGACTGGAGCTTTTCCAAGCTCAGCTCCCAAAATCAGCTCTGCCCATCAGTATCACCAAAATGAGACCCCATTTTCAAAATCCGGTCATGGACTCACAGCACCACTGGGCTCCATGGGCCTAGCTCCCTGAGCGGGGAAAAGCCAAGCTGCAGTAATTAACCAACACTACCCAAATGAGACACTGTCACTCAGCGAATCATGCTGCCCTGTAACCCTCCGGCTCCATCCTTACACAGGTGATGAAATAGTTAACAGTGTTGCCATATCAATTATCGTCACTGGACATCTGAGTTATCCGCTGCCGGAGATGAGTGGGAAAGTTCACACCTCTCCGAGACAGCGTCTGCCAGACTCAGCTCTGCACGGCTTGTGTTCAGGTCACCGTCTGGAGGGTTTCTTTGCAGCCAGATCAGCTTGAGAAGGCCTTTGTTTAAAAAAAGGAAAGCACTGATTCTGGAGAACCAGCCTTCCATTTCAGAGCAGGGCCAGCGGGCGTACGCTGGCTGTTTCGAAGCCTTGCCGTTAATGCTTAAAAAGAGATCTGGAAGGGATTGAACCCCTCCTGCTCCAGGGTCGAAGCCAACCTGTAACTAACAGAGGTCAGGTCTGAGACCTGGCAGGAGGGAGAGGGAGCAGATTATCCCATCTCAGCTGCTGCACTGTTCTTACACCTTCCTCTGAAGCAGCTGCTGCTGGCTCTCGCCAGAGACAGGATCCTTTGGACTAGCTGGACCTTGGCTCCGATCCAATTGCTGGGGCTGCAGAAGCTACTCAAAGGACACTTCACCAGAGATTGGGAAGACAGAGTTTACCGAGAGCTCAGCAGGAAGCACCAGACTAGGACACGTGAGGGGGGGTTCTGAGCCCACCTGTGTTCCTGACACACTGTGGGAGTGTGGGCAAATCCCTGCCCTGCCCCCTGCCTCAGTTTCCCCATCCATAAAAGGGGGATCATGATACTGAGATACATCCCCAGGGGAGGGGTTAGAGGATTTGTTAACTGCAGCTGCGATGCTTTCTCAGCCAGCTGCCTTGTTGCCAGGGCTGGGAGAGCTCAGAGCTGCATCTCAGAAACACTCCCGAGGGGGACACCGAAGGGAGGGGACATAAAGGAACACGCTGCCGACAAGGGAGCTCAGTGCCGGGGGTTGGTTAAAGTCCCAAAGGGACCAGAAACAATGGCTGAGAGACATACAGCCAACAGGCCCACGGCCCGGCCAGTTCAGCCGGCGATGGGGCTGTCGGTTCACGGCACATGTACAGCTCCCAGCACAATGACACCCCAGTCCTCAGTGGGGCCAGCAGATACGACCACACTACACATAACAGGCCACCCGTCCTGCTGGGGGCTCAGCTCAGCCCAGGGCGATTGCAACCTCCTGCCTGCCCAGAGGATCCTCTGTGTCCTGGAGAGCTGCTTTTGTAACCCTGTCCCTGTGCAAGGAGATGGGGCAGCTGAGCGGAGGTTAACCCCTTGTTCACCAGGGACTGGGTACAGTCCTTGTTACCACACAGGATTACATGGCCTGATCTGGAAAGGGACTGTCCCCACCTTTGGGTGCTCAGTGCCTTTGGAGACCAGCCCATGGCAGTTTCTCCTCCTCGCTCTCTCTGTCCTTGCAATCACGGCACCCTTCGGCATGCGGCTCCAGCACCGCCCGGCCTATCCCAGCAACTTTCCTCCCTTCTGGACCCTCAGCATCTCCTGAGGCCCAGCTGGCTCCTCTGGGCCGCCCTGGCAATCACGGCTGGACAAATTCATCTTCACAGGCTCCAGCTTAGGTGTCACCCCCTCCCCAGCCCTGGGACAAGCCCCCCAACCCCACCCAGCTACCAGTCCTTCCCCCATCTGCTCTGAACGGCTGCCTAGAGATGACAAGATTTCTGCTTTCGCGCATCAGAGGCAGTAACATTTAGGACACCCCTCCCCTCCTGGAGTGTGTAACATCCCCTACGAGGAGAGAAAGACCAGTCCAGACCCAGACTGGAGCTTCCCCAGCCTTCAGGGGTACGTCTGGGCCCACCTCTTGCTGTTTTTCTGTGTTGAACAGGTGCTCGGCGCGGTACAGTTCTCGCAGGCAGCCCGGAGTATAAGGGACTACTCCAAGCACCAGCTGAGGGAGCTCTCCTTTTGCCCCCACGGCAGGGATCTATGGGTGTGAAGCTGTAGCTGCAGGGCTCTAATCCGGCCGCCCTCTCCACCCCACGTGTACAGATCGACAGGACCCCACAAGCCCTTCAAGCGCCCCACCTGCAGAGGGGCTGCTTTGCTCCTCTCTGGGGGGGTGGGGGGGAAGCACAGTCCCGGATTAGCACCACACCGTGACCTGGCTAAAAAAAAACACCTTGAAACGGGGCGAATCAAAAGGGTCCCGCATCCTGCTGGCACGGCCGGGGGACAGTCCGGCAGCACAGCGCCAAACCCCACGCTGGAAGTCAGCCCGGACGCCAGGGTTCGCCCGCAGGAAAAGCACCACGGGAATGTTACTGCCACCCAGCCAGCAGGTTCTAGGCATCCGAGCTCCCCGAGGAGACGGTCCCACCGGCATCACAGCGCCCCCTAGCGCCAGGCTCGGTGCCGCCGGGCTGCAGAGCGCCTCCCGCTGACTCACCCCCGCGGCTGGCTGCTGCAGCTGGGCAACCTGCCCCCTGTACCCTGACCTAAAACAGGTCCAGGCCCGGGCGAGCCAACAGCACCCGAAGCCCAGCTCCCCTCGCTGCCCCGCCCGCCCCCTTCCCGCCAGGGGCCTCGGACCCCAGCGCCCGCTTACCTCAGCTTCAGGTTCTCCATGAAGTGCTCCATGGTCACCTGGTCCAGGAGGACAAAGTCGGCCTTGCCGAACTCCAGGCTCTCCTGCTCGGCCATGCCGCTGGGGGACGGCGAGAGGCTGGGCGGCGGGGGAGCGAGCACCAGCCTGAGGAAAGATGACTTTCAAAACCCAGCCGCGAGCTGCCGGGGCTCAGCTTCCTGTGCGGAGGCTGATTGAGCGGCGGGGCGTGGCGGCAGCCAGGGGGGTGGGGTCACGTGGTCGGCCCTGCTGAGCGGGAACCCCACGTCGCCCCCCCACCCCGTGGCCCTGGGAAGGGTGGCTGGGAGCCCCTCTGCCCATCTCCCGCTGGGCTGAATCCTGCCCCTTTCAGTGTGATGTCGGGGGGGGCAGTTCCCCTGCAGACAGGGGGCAGGTCCCAGGACCCCACCCAGGGGCGCCATGTGCCATGGAGCTGCGCTCTGCAAGGGGCAGGGCTGCCCAGTGTGCGGGAAGTTGGGGCAGGATCCCAGGACCCTGCCTAGGGGCACCATGTGCCATGGAGCTGTGCTCTGCAAGGGCAGTGCCCCCCAGTGTGGGGGAATTTGGGGAGGCCCACCAGCCAGCTCTCCTTGTAGGGTGGGCGTGCAAGAGTCCTGCAGGATGGCTCCCAGGTTCTTTCCCAGCCCCCAGGAGCTTGGATGGCAGGGGGCCGTGGGTCAGGAAGCAGGACTATGGGCACAGCTGGGTGGGGGGCTCAGGGCTGGGATAGCAGGGGGCCGTGGGTCAGGAGGCAGGGCCATGGCACAGCTGGGAGGGGGGGTCAGAGCTGGGATAGCAGGGAGCCGTGGGTCAGGAGGCAGAGGCAGAGGCCTGGGCACAGCTGGGTGGGCCCAGGGCTGGGATAGCAGAGGGCCATGGGTCAGGAGGCAGAGGCCTGGGCACAGCTGGGTGGGGGGGTCAGGGCTGGGATAGCAGGGGGCCGTGGGTCAGGAACGAGATGCCCCCCACCCATTGCGGAGTGTTGGGGGCAGCATGCCCAGACTAGGCCCTGCGCACTGCAGTCAGAGCCGCAGGTTTTCGCACTCACGCGGCTACACTGAAATGGCCGCAGTGGAAACTGTCCTGGGCTGGCTGCTCATCTCTCACTTCTCGCTGCTTTGTCATCATGCGACTCCTGGGCCCAGCCTGTGGCCAGGTGACATCACTTCCCCCCAGTGCCCAAGCCGCTCACACGTTGGGATGGGACACAGGGCATCCTGCCTGCGCGCCCCGGGGCCAACTAGCCCAGCTGCTGCAGCCTCTGCCAAAACCCTCCTGGAAGGGGAGGGGAGCACGGTCCCTGGGGGTTTCCTCGGTGGTCATGGAGGCTTTGCTCACTGCCAGATGGGTTTTTCCCTTGGGGATGTCACACCAGTGATGAGAAATCGCCCTGTGCCCACCTCTGGCTTAATATGCACGACCATCGTCTTACATTCTCACCCCTTTGGTGCCACGCTTACCGCACACACTATGGCCTTTAGGTGGCGCTCCTGAGTCACACAGGTGGGCAGCACCCTCATTCCAGACGCCATTCTGAGTGCCAGGTGGAGCAATGGGTTCTGTGGTAAGGGTTGGCTTGGCGAGCGAGATCCTTGGGGGCTAGCGTGATCCTTGGGGGCTAGCGCAGCACGTGGGTGCAGGGACAGAGGCACCAGCCCATCCAGGCGAGACGCCGCCCTGGCAGGTCCATGGGAACGACAGAGCTCTGAGCATCAACTGAGGGAATCTCCCACGTAGCAGGACAGCCATCGTTCGCCCAGTTCCGCTGACCCGGAGTTGCTTTGCCATCCCCCTGCATGCAGCCGTCCGAGACCTGCACCAACCCGGAAAACGGACCCCTGACCAAGTCAGTGCTGGAACTCAGCCAGCAGCATTTGGGAAGGGAACGTCCTGTTTGCACCATACCTCACTGCCAGCAGCAGCAGTGGGCACCCAGCCCTGGCACTGCATTCAGGGACCGAGTAACCCCATCACTTTGGGTTCTTCATGCCAATGGCCAGGCTGGCTAAGCCACCTACCCAGGCCCTCAGCACAAGGGCACTGCCAGCCAGCCCAAAGCAGTGCAGTGTCCTGCCCTGCCTCTCCGCCTTCCCCTCCCTCCTGCCTGCTAGCTCCCCCAGAAAGACCGGCTGAGTGGGTGGCGGCAGAGGGCACCATACACTAGCGGCGACTGCAAGCAGCCTATTGGCAGGGGCCCAAGAGAAGCGCAGTGGCTGGGGTTCACGCTGCTTTGTCCTTTCCCCCTCTCCCCTCGCAGGACAGCTGCAGCTGCCCCCTTCCGCCTTGCACAGCAGAATATCCCAACGGGGCCATGCAGCAGGTGGGCCCATTGCTAGAGCGCTGGCTTACAAGGGCTTGTTCAAACCTGAGGCCATGCAGGGCTCTGACAGAGGGTAGCTGACCCTCGGAAAGGGGCAGGGGCCCAGCCTACCTCAGACAGGCTCCACAAGGGGAAAGGAGGCAGCTCAGGTTCACCAGGGACTCGTTAACTCACTGAGTTACTGGGGGGCACCTAATTAAACAGGGAGGCACCTGGTCAGGATCAAAAGGAAGCTACGCCTTGGGGGACATGGATCTAAGAAGACAGAGGCTCCTGGGGCAAGGAACAGTCCCCAGGCCACAAAAAGAGAAAGCTCCCAAGGGGAGGGTGTCTCAAGGGGGCTCCCCAGGAAAAGTCCCCAAGGAAGAATGCTGCTGGGGGAGACGAGGGCTCCGAACAGGTGACACTATGAATAGCAAGTCTCAGCGGAGCCTGGCCCCCCTGGAAGGCCTTCACCAGGTAGCAGCAAAAGCCCCAGAGCACAGGAATCAGGGGCTGTCTGGAAGGTCATTGCACTTTAACCTCCGTAGGGACTCTGACCCAAGAGAAGACCCCTCCCCCTCTGATGACAAGAGGGGCCTGCTGGTAAGGGACCTGGACTAAGGTTAACTCAGCCCCCCACCCCTTCCAGCTGGAGCTGCTGTGGGGATGCCTATTTGTACAATGCTCCACCTGGGGGTTAAACAAAGCAGAGCCCCCAAGGGGCACGGTTCAATATAAATAAGCCTCATTGGACTTACTGAGGCCCATAGGGGAAACTGAGGCAGAGATGCAAAGGTGGCACTGCAGTGAGCCATGAGGGGGCACCCCAGGACTGAGGGTCCCCATTAGAGGTTCCCATAGCTGCAGACCCTGCAGCAGCTACCACTGCTACCCCGCAAACAGTATTTTTATTTACAGTAGAGCTTATGGTTAAGACATCTGGAGCAACTTCCTCTTTTGGTGTATTCCCTGCCTGCGCTCCCTCTGCCGGCAGGTCTTTGAATCCCACTGCAGAGAGCAGCATGGGTGTAACGCGTTCAAAGTGCCAGGGAAGCGATTAGACACATGACCTAACAGCACTCGGGGCCCTTTCCCACCTTGGGTCTGAGCAGTGTCATTCTCCTGGCATGCTCCGCGTCCATTCCCACCACAGAGGGAGAAGCCAAGACAGGGAAGCAAGGGGCTGCCTGCCAGACGTGCTGAGGCAGCCGCAATGGGAAGGACAGGCCCCCAGGGACTGCCCATGGAGGGAGGCCCCAGCACTGGGGCTCAGAACCAAGCAGGGGTGAAAGCAAGGTGGCACGGCGGACTGGTAAAAGTGGCCGCCTGTGGCAGCGCTTTAATGTCGTTGCCCCTTTTGCGCTGGGGGAGCCAAAAAAAAAGAGCAGCTGCCGCCAGGGCCAGTGATTTTAAAGGGCCAGGATCTCTGGCCATCACTGCTGCTACTACCATGGAGCCCCGGGCCCTTTTAAATCACTGCTGGAGCCCCAGGCGGTGCGGGCCAGGTAGCACGGATGGGCGATGCTAACCCCACCCTGCCCCCTTCTGCCTGATACCAGACCCCTTCCCGGGGGTGGAGGCAAGCCAGCCCCCGTACCGGTAAGAGTTCAATTTTACTTTCACCCCTGGAACCAAGTCCCTCTTTCCGCGACTGCACTCAGTCCATGCTGCTTGCTTGAGGCCCAGCAGCCCGGACCCCAGCGTGGAGAGCGATCACTCCTGTTCACCGAGTGGCCTTCAGCCAGCTGCACCAAAGAACAAATCACATCTCATCAGGATCAGTACTTGCCCATGTAAGGAAACTCTGCAGGCTACATTAGCAGGGGGAGAACTGTAACCACACACAAGTCTGAAATGCAGCCAACGCTGGGAGGAAGAAAGCCACCCTTCTGGGCCAGTTATAGTAGGGCAGGAAGCTGTCCAGAGTGGTGATGGGGAAAGACTTTGGGAGAGCAGGTAGAGAACAAGAAGTGCATTAGCCCATGGCGTGTTACTAAAGCAGCCGGGGACGATGCCACGGCCCATTCCTTGCAGAGCACCCCACAAAGGGAACCGAGAACATCCACTGACTGAGCCCTTCAGGGCTGGAGCTCTGCTCTCAGGAGCACTAAACCTGAATCCCAGTACTCCCTGCTGAGTCAGTGCAGGAAGGTAACTTCCCAGCAGGTGGGCAAGGCGTATCAGATCAGCGGGTGGAGCCCCCACAGTGAAGCATCCCTCGGCCCTCCACAGCACAGCAGAACCAGAGGAAATACTTGTAAGACAAACAAGCTCTTTGTGTATCCCCCTCATCTGAGTGCTGAATCCCAGGGCCAGGCACCGCCTCAACGCAGCAGGGCACAGTGGGAGTGGGACCCCAGCACAGTAGCATCGTCTAGAGAGACTGTGGGGCGCTGGTTTTCAGTGCTGCTGAGCACCCACAGCTCCCCTTGGGGTCGTGGATGGTCAGCTATTGGACCCCTCTCTCCAGACCAGCTACCAGGGAGCATTCGCTGATGGCAGCAGGAAAACCCTCCCCGCCTTGGCGCAGTTCTGGGGATACTGACTCAGGAAATCAAGAGGGTGGCTGCTAATCCAGGATCACTTTTGTTTATTGAGGTTTGTACAGGGGGTGGGAGGAAAGGGGGTAAGGCAAGGCTGTAGATGCCGCTGCCAAGACCAAAGCTACAGCCCACCTCCCTCCCCACAGGACTCAGCCCCCTTCAATACCCTCCCCCAGGCAGAACAAACTCCCCATGGAGCCACCTTGCAGCGGACCCTGAAGGCTGATACACACACAGGCCACCCTGGATGGGGACAGTTATCGCAGCGCGAAGAGCCCCCTCACGGAAAACGCTGTTGCCGGCCCTCTCAAACTGAGGAGAATCCAGCTCAGGCCCCACGGCCACTGGCAACCCAGCACAAGGTGCCCTCCCATACAGGAAGCGCCCAGACTGTTGTGGGCTCCATCGGTCACCCCAACCCCTTAACTATCACCGATCAACTCAGCAGGAGGCCAGGCCGGGGAACACTGCAGCTACTAAAGCTTATGCTCAAATAAATTGGTTAGTCTCTAAGGTGTCACAAGTCCTCCTTTTCTTTTTGCCCTCCACCAGCCCCTCTTGCCTATTTTAAGGACAGCAGCAGGTGGCATAGGCTAAGGGCCCTCCTGGAAAGGCTCTGAATGGGAGGGGGGGGGTGGTCTAACCCCAGAGGGGCAGCGTCACAGTAGACCCTCACCGAGAAGAGGCTCAAAGGCGGCCACTCACCATGTGCAAAGGGCTTTAAGAACCACAGATGCTGGCCATGCCCTCCAGAAAGAGCAAGGGCCTTCCCCAATTCTCATCCAACACTATGGAGAAGGTTATGACTAAGCCAGGTGCTTTAAGCAGGGACCTCCCACACCTCAGAGGATCCCCTGGCCGAGGTCACTCCTCCTGGCATCTCACTCACTAGACAGATCCAGGGCCAGCCTGACTGCCAAGGAGAGAGCAGGAACCGTCATCAGACATCTGCAGCTTTGACCAGCATCAGGGTGATCTTAACTCACTGAACAGGAAAGACCAACTCTCCCCCGCTGCTCCAGGCGGCCACCACCAGGCAGGCCAGGACCAGTGCTCCCTCTCACTTTTTGTGTCCATGTGCAGAATTCATTTTGTTTTGTGCACCACTTCCTGTGGGGGGACCGGGACTGAGGGATCTGGAGTGTGGGAGGGGGCTCAGGGCTGGGGCAGAGGGTTGGGGGCACAAGGGCTCTGGCTAGGGGTGCAGGAGGGGGCTCAGGGCTGGGGCCGGGAATGAGGGGTTTGGTGTGCAGGAGGGGGCTCAAGGCTGGAGCCAAGGATGAGAGGTTTGGGTGCAGGCTGTCCCAGGGCTGCGGCGGGGAAAGAGGATTCCCCACTCCCCTCACTGCAGCAGCTCAGGGACAGGGGACAGGCTGCTCTCCCCGATGGCAGCTCTGTCAGGGCTGGTGGGCAGGAGGGGGGCGGTGGCGGGGGGGGGGTGGCTCCTCTCCCTGGCAGCTCCAGTGGGCCTGGGTCAGGGTTCCTCTCCCCTGGCGGAGGCAAGTCCAGGGCAGGTCCACGCTGGAACCTGCAGGGAGGGGCACCTCTGCCCGCCGTGGCACGTCTGCGCTGGGGGAAAGAAAGAGACATCTCGCCGCCGCAGCCCTGAGCCCCTGCGCAGGGCTTAACTGGCAGCTGCGCAGCGGAGACGGAACTGAAGCCAGGATGCCACAGCCTCTCAACGCTGCTCTGGCAACGGGTCAGAGGGGCTGCTACAGCAGGAACAGCTGATGCTCAGCGGGTGTTCCATCTTCCAGGGGTTGTAGATGACATCAGGTAATCCCCACAACTCCCCAGAAAGGCACTGTTATCCCCAGTGGTTCAGAAAGGGAAACTGAGGCACACTAAGAGGCCTGCCCACAGCCAGCCATGTAGGTGGGATTAAAATTCAGAGGTTCCTGGCGCCTCACCCCAGATCTATACCAGTGTGAGGGAGGGGCTGCCCCCACAACATCGCCCCCCTCAGGAAGCAAGAGACAGGTGATCAAAGGCAGATCTCCTGGACTGCAGGGCAGAGAGCTGGCACCAGCTCAAGCTTCTCAGCAAGCGGCCTGTCGAATTTCTTCCTCAAGGGAAGGGGCAAGCCTAATTACTTCAAGTGGAGGGAACAATTTCCCACTAGATCCCAACTAACCTAGGACCTGGGGCCCAACTGATCTTTGCCATCTCTAACCTGCCCCATCGCTGTCTGGAGCAGGGGTTCTCATAACAAATGCTCTGCGGGCCTCCGAGTGCAGCTCCGATTGCTCTTGCTGGTGGCCACTCTGACAATTTTTCCTAAAATACTTAATTAACTTTAGGAAAAAACATGAACATACATACGTCCCAGTCATTGTACATTTATTTAAGAGCGGTTTTTTCCCCTCCTTCTTCAGACTCAATAATAAAAATAATGCAGAGCTGCCTCTATCCTTTACTGGAGCTGAACACAATAGACCACTGATAAGGTGCTTGGGGCGTTCTTTTCTTTTTTGTTGTTGGGACTGTGCTTTTTTGGTAAAAGGTGGATGTTGGTACAACAATTTGGAACCACATTTAAAAATGCTTTTACATAATAAACGACCAGATAATAATGAAAAAAAATCTGCAAGTGTGTCCAAAATTTCTCTTTCACGGACTGCCGCCCCCCAAAAAAGCAACTCAATCTAGCACTAATCATAGTAACAAATGATCCTGTTATATTATGCTTTACCAATATAGGGTGATAAACCCCAGAACTTTAATTTCATTAATACAGCCATTGTGTGGATCAGACTACCTGCAAAAGTTCAGGGGCTCTTGGAATGGAAAGTCTGCAGGATCTCGGGTCTCCTGTTAAACTAGAAGGGAAGCTTCCAGATTAGCATCAGTGAGGCCGTTTTGGTACTTGCTCTTCAGACAATGGAGTGCACTAAATGCCCTCTCACACAGCACAGTACTTGAAAACAGGGACAAGAAAAGCAAAGCAACTTTAGCTTGAGGCTTGTAGGCATCCTCAGACAGGTACACTTTGATCCAGAACTGCTGCACTGTAACACCGGGCTGACTGAAGTAGGTTTTCATTCTTGCATTATTACGCATGTGCACCATGAGATGCTGGAGATTCCTTAAATCCAAAGAGGCAAAGGAAGCTAATCTGTCTTGCAAGGCCGTTAGTTTGTCTGCAGCCAAAAACCCCAAACGGGAATTGCTGAATGGGTCTGTCACAAAAGTGTATTGATGGAAAAAGTTTCCCTCGCTGAAACAATTTTCAAGATCTTCCAAGATGATATGCAGGTATTTGGTTATAGCTAAGCCGACCTTTTGCTGCATGCTCTCATCCTGACAGCTGAGAAACCCACTAAGCTCAGAAAAACAGAAGAGTCCCGTTTCTCTTGTAGCTGCTGGATGATGTCAGTGACGGTCATTCGGAATGTATGAATTACTTCAATGCGGTCAAATATTGTTAGCTGAGGTACCTGAAGCTCCAGGTTCAAGGAAGCAAGCTTTGGTAAAAACTCCTTCAAAAAGAGCAAACAACCATGTACTCCTGGATGCTTTTGGGACAGTTGCGGCGAAACTGTGTTCAAAACCTCAATGAGCTCTCCCCGGAGCTCAAACAGCCACTGTACACTGCCATTCAAACTAAGCCAATGGACCAGGCTGTAATTCAGCAGCACCTTGTGCGTCTCAGAGTCTGTTTCACACAGCGTTGCGAATCTCTCTTTATGGACACGGCTGACGTTCACAGCACTGATACACTTTTCCACTACGGATTCAACCTCATCCATACTTTCCACTGAAGCCTTGCTGGCAAGCACTTCTTGGTGGGCAAACCAGGGAAACAGAAAAAGTTTCTGAGGGCAGCTTTCTTGGAAGTAGTTCAACACCTCTGCTTGAGCACCTTGCATAACTGCTGCCACGTCAGCTGCCAAGCCACACAGATTGTCGAATCTAACCCAGCACTCCTGCATTCTCCCCTGAACACACTGAAAAACCTGTTTGCCAGTTGGCCTATCAGTGAGGCTCACCTGACATAAAACGCCTTCGGTAAAACAGCGAGCACAGTCAAAAAAGTGAACGCATACGATTATCTTTGGATTCTTCACGACGTCAGGGGTCTCAACCAAGCACAGGCTGTAGAAAGGGCTCACTGAGACTTTCGCAGCTATTTCGTTTTGTAGAAAGTTCACTAGATCTCTTGTGCTTCTCTGTAACATGTCGTTGCTCAGTGGTAGCTCTCTGAAAAGCGGATTTTCTGGTTGAACGGCCAGAACAATTTTCTTCACGAGTTCTCCGTTGTCGAAAGATTTCCTTGCTTGCCCCAAAAGTAGTGCCACTTTGAAAGTAGCCACGTCTATCTGATCTACTTTCTTCAGAAAATCTCTGGGCCGTCACTGTTGTCTTTCGAGCTCGGTTTTTGCATCATTTAACAGCTTGCGCCTCTGAAACTCACCATGATAATTCTGTTCAACTTCCCCTGCATGAGCGTTATAGTGACGTTGCATCGCGTACATTTTAATCTTTCTTACAAACAGCACACACTGCAACTTGCTCAGAAACGGAACTGGATGGCTTCAGAAACACAAGAAACCATGTTTCCCACTGCACCTGAAATTTTCAATTTTCTTCCTTCCACGTTCTGCTTTTCTTAGCAGCAGGTTGCGCCTCTGGGACCATCTCTGCATCACATTCAGGGGCATTTTCTGGCACTGATTGTTGGATATCAGGAAGGTTTTCAATTTGCATTTTTAACTCTTTCGCCATTTGCCACAAACAACCTCAACCTACCCAAACACCTCGCAGTGATCTTGCCGACGAGGACGCTGGTCAATAGCTGCTGATGGAGCTACAGTACTGCGATGTAAACATAGTGATTAGCCAATAAATATGCTTTGTTACTTGAAAGAAAACCACCCCATGTAGTTCAGCGCTCCCTGCACTGTACTGTAATATTTAGAAGGGCATGAGTGTACTTTATGGCATTCACAAGGCAACTTTAATACTTAACATCTCAGTGATTGTTGGGGCTCTTTGGAGGCTGTCATGGCTGCAAAAAAATCCCTGGTGGCCACATTTGAGAAATGGTGTTTTAGAGGATCCTTTCACAAGGAGCCATCATCTAAGGGTTATAACTCCATCAGACAGACTCAATCTGCAGCTTTACAAGCACTCTAAAGAATATCACCCTCCCTTTGCTTTAGGATCTCCACGCTCCTGTGCGCCGGCCTAGGAGTGTCTGAAATTTCTATAACCTCACTCCGAAGGGGGAGCAGAACAAGGCCTCAAACCATCTCAGGTCTGCTCTTGCAAGCTCTACAGGAATGAGCAGGGTCACAATGCAGACCCAGCCATGCTGGAAGGCTTGCGGGAAAGAACTTAACCTGTCAGGCACACAATAGATCCTCTTATTCAAGGAAAACAGCACCATTTAACAATAGAAACAGATGCCGTGGCAAGTGGCATCAGCCAGCCAGACACTCTCACAAGCGGATATATTTATTCATATGGACATTGGTACAGATCAGTGCATACATAACTAAGGCTGCAGTCTCGTGATTCCTACTTCTATTGATCAACAGCATTTATGCTGCATCATCTGAACCCCAAAGACTCAAACATGGGTGTGAATTTTATACAGGGACTACGAGCAGCACTGACATGCAGCAGCTAATTTCCATCAGCAATACAACACTCTGGGGGAAGAATAACTTCATTGAAATTACAGGCAGAGTTACTTTGTGCCTTCCCAGAATTCCCCATGGTGGAATTTGGCCAGCACACTGGGGTTATCACGTACTCCTGAGGGGAGTGCCATAATGGAACCCGTTACTGTATTGTAACCGGTCAAAGCTTCAGATCCACATTTTATATGCAGCAAAGTATCACTCAGTCTGTGGGGCACTGTTCAAAACCAACTCAAGAGTTCTGACTGAGCTGACGCCATTCTGGGGTTTCTTTTGGACATCTCCCATCCAGCTACAGTCCAACCCAGCTATGCTTAACTTGTAAGATGCAGAGATCAGACTTTGACAGTCTGACCAAAGACAATGTGCTGAATAGAAATGCCAGCACCAAACACAATGGCTGGATTTTAGGCCTACTCCTTGCATGGCCTTGCCCTGTTTTCTGGCAGGTATCAACATGCAAGGCTCTGTTTTGTTCAGGGGAATCCAGCTCCCCCAGATGGCCCCATCTCTGCTCATCGAGCTCCAAGGGTTTCTTTTTGTTTTTTTAAAGTGGGGTGTTGGGTTTGGGACACTCTGGTTTCTCCAAGGCAGGTCTGGGAACAGGGTTGGGGTGTGGAGAAGAACAGACATTTCAGCCCAGAACTATTCTGGTTTTTAGCTTACCTAATAATTCCACTTTCCATAGCATGAGCACTTCCATGTGACCAGCACAGAGACAGGGAAGCCACAAGCTGCAGGCAGGAAGACAAGATATGGTAACACCGGAAATGCAGCTTTAGAAATGGAAATGTATTAAATGTGAATGTGGAGCAAAAAATAACCAGCGCAAGGTCCATCCTGTGAATCCTAACACAATAACCCAGAATGAAAGGGTTACGTGAGACTAAAGGAGGGCTTAGAACTATGGAATAAACATTGCTCATGCCTCACGGCTTTTCATACAACTTATGCTCACAGATCCTTAATGGGTGGGGAAGAAACCGGGAAGCCAGGTTAAGGGCTTGTTTTGCATATTTTAGGCAGAGGTAGTCAATAGGTGGACCACAGGTCAAATCTGGACCGCCAGACACTTTTGAACAGACCCAAATATTTCTATTTACTGGTGGTGGTGTGTAGTTGCTGCTGGGATTGTTTCGTTGTTTATTACTTTCCTCTGGAGTCTAGACCTTGACCAAGAATTTTGGACCTTGGCAAAAATAATTAGCTACCCCTGTTTTAGGCTCTGTGTGGTTCTGCCTTGATGCGATTTGGACTCCTGATTCAGCCTGTCTGAAATTTCTATAACCTCACTCTGAAAAGGAGCAGAGCGAAGCCTCAAACCATCTCAGGGCTGCTCTCGCAAGCACTACAGGAATGAACAGGGTCACCGCAGACCCAGCCATGCTGGAAGGCTTGCTCACGTGGGGCAGTCAAAGGAACTGGGGAAGACTGATCTGGGAGGTTTAATTTCTTTGATGCAGTTCAAACCCACAGAAATTTTTACCTTTCTAGCTCAGCAGCATTGTGCACTCCTCAGACCCAGCCACTCCAACCACGGACTGGAGACCATTTCTACAGGCAGGAAAATGAGAAGAGAAAAAAACCAATCAGATTATTTAGTGGAAGACGATGGAGAATCTACTTAACCAGGCAGGTCAGTCATAGGATGCTTCTGGGATATTTATACACGTCATCTCAAAGTGTTTTATAAGCCACACATGCCTCCTAAGGCAGGCAGCCACCCTAAAGCGAGTGAGACTATGGAACAGGCAACAGTAGAATCAGAGCAGCCCCGACCTGTTACCAGGAGAGGGTTAGTTCTGTGGCACTGTCTGAAGGAGGCACACATTAACCTGCACAGAGATCAGCTGACCTGCGTGAGAGTAGGGAGCGGAACCCGCTCTGCTGGGATTTGCACGGTAACAGCTGAAGTCTGATGCTTAGAACATGATCCCACCCCTTGAGGACATGCCAAGCGGTCAAAGCCTCAGATCCACATTTTATATGCTGCAAAGCATCATTCTGTGGCACTGTTTAAAACCTACTCAAGAGTTCTGACTGAGCTGACACCATTCTGGGGTTTCTTTTGGACATCTCCCATCCAGCCACAGTCCAACCCAGCCATGTTAACTTGTAAGATGCAGAGATCAGACTTTGACAGCCTGGCCAAAGACAACGTGCTGAACAGAAATACCAGCACCAAACGACAGCTGGATTTTAGGCCCACTCCTTGCACTGCCTTGCCCTTTTTTTCTGGCAGGTATCAACGTGCAAGGCTCTGTTTTGTTCAGGGGAGTACAGCTCCATCTCTGCTCATCAAGCTCCAAGGGTTTGTTTAGGTTCTTTTAAAGTGGGTGTTGCGTTTGCGACACTCTGGTTTCTCCAAGACAGGTCTGGGAGTGGGGGTGAGGAGAGAAGATCAGACATTTCAGCCCAGAACTATTTTGGTTTTTAGCTTACCTACCAATTCCACTTTCCAAAGCATGAGCGGTTCCATGTGACCAGCGCAGAGACAGGGAAGCCACAAGCTGCAGGCAGGAAGACAAGATGTGGTAACACCATAAATGCAACTTTAGACATGGAAATTTATTACATGTTATTGTGCAGCAAAAAATTACGAGTGCAAGAATCTGTCCTACAAATCCTCACACAATAATCCAGATTGAAAGGGGCTGCAAGAGACTAAAGGAGGGCACAGAACAGGTTTTGCTATGGAATGTTGGGAATCATTAAGAAAAAGACAGATAATAAAACAGAAAATATCATACTGCTGCTTTATAAATCCATGGCACGCCCACACCTGGAATACTGCGTGCTGACGCGGTTCCCCCAACTCAAACAAGTTATAGTGGACTCGGAAAAGGTCCAGAAAAGGGCAACAAAAATTATTAGGGGTCTGGAACGGCTGCCTTATGAGGAGAGATTAATAAAACTGGGACTTTTCAGCTTGGAAAAGAGACGACTAAGGGGGGATATGATAGAGGTCTATAAAATCATGACTGGTGTGAAGAAAGTAAAGAAGGAAGTGTTATTTACTCCTTCCCATACAACAAGAACTGGGGGCCACTGAATGAAATTAACAGGCAGCAGGTTTAGAACAAACAAAAGGAAGTATTTCTTCATACAATGCACAGTCAACCCATGGAACTCTTTGCCAGAGGACGTAGTGAAGGCTAAGACTATATCAGAGGGGTACTTGTGTTAGTCTGTATCCACAAAAACAATGAGGAGTCCAGTGGCACCTCAAAGACTAACAGATTTATTTGGGCATAACTTGTGGGTAAACCCCCCCCCACTTCTTCAGATGCATGGAGTGAAAATTACAGATACAGGCATAAATATACTGGCACACAAAGAGAATGGAGTTAAGTTGACAAGGTCAATTCAGTCAGGGTGGATGTGGTAGACTGAATTGGCCTTGTCAACACTGGTTCTCCGTTTGTAAGGTAACTCCCTTCTCTGACCTAAGTATGATCATCCTTATGCAATAAACATTGTTCATGCCTCACGGCTTTTCACACTACTTATGCTCACAGATCACCGGGTGGGGCAGACACTGGGAGGCCAGGTTAAGGGCTGGTCATGCATGTTTTAGGTTCTGTGTGGTTCTGCCTTCATGCGATTTGGCTTCCTGATTCGGCCTGTCTGAAATTTCTATAACCTCACTCTGAAAAGGAGCAGAGCGAGGCCTCAAACCATCTCAGGCTGCTCTCGCAAGCACTACAGGAATGAACAGGGTCACCGCAGACCCAGCCATGCTGGAAGGCTTGCTCACGTGGGGCAGTCAAAGGAACTGGGGAAGACTGATCTGGGAGGTTTAATTTCTTTGATGCAGTTCAAACCCACAGAAATTTTTACCTTTCTAGCTCAGCAGCATTATGCACTCCTCAGACCCAGCCACTCCAACCATGGACTGGAGATCATTTCTACAGGCAGGAAAATAAGAAGAGAAAAAAAACAATCAGATTATTTAGCGGAAGATGAAATAAATTTGTTAGTCTCTAAGATGCCACAAGTACTCCTTTTCTTTTAACCAGGCAGGTCGGTCATAGGATGCTTCTGAGATATTTATACCCGTGTCGACTCAAAGTGTTTTACAAACCACTCATGCATCACTCACTTCTAAGGCAGGCAGCCACCCTAAAGCGAGTGAGACTATGGAGCAGGCAACAGTGGAATCAGGGCAGCCCCAGCCTGTTACCAGGAGAGGGTTAGTTCTGTGGCACTGTCTGAAGGAGGCACACATTAACCTGCACAGAGATCAGCTGATCTGCCTGGAGAGTAGGGAGCGGAACCCGCTCTGCTGGGATTTGCATCGTGATCGCTGAAGCCTGATGCTTAGACCACGATCCCCCCAGGCTGGGCGATGCTCCCTTATACAGCAGCAAATAGGGCGTGAGGCCCATACAGCTCACGGGCCACGCTGCTCACGGCGGCTGGGGCACCGATCCCAGCCACCCGCTGCCCCAGATCCCCCTGCGGGTCCCTCGCCAGCCCCGTGCCCGGGGCCCCCGGTGCAACAAGGCCCATGCTGCACAGCCCAGGGCGTGCCCACCCGGAAGGAAGAGTCAGACCCCACAGAGACGGGCGCGCTGCCCTGCCAGGGGTGCCCTCACCGGCAGCAGCACACGTGTAGCCGCCTCTCCAGGACTACAGCTCCCGACATGCACCGCGCCCCCAGCTGCAGCGACAGCAGGGCTCAGTACGGAACGCTGTCTCCTGGGACTTGTAGTCCCCATATAGCCCCGGGGGTGGGGGGGGGTGGCACCGAATCTTCTCTCACCTCCACGTGGGGCTGAACCCCGGGCACAGCCCCCGACTTCCCCACCACCAACGCAGCACAGCGGGCGGCCACAGCCTGCGCCCGCCCGGGGCTCCCAGGGCAGCGCAGGCCCCGGATGGAGGCGGATTAGAAACTCACCAGCGCCGCCGCCGCAGCCGCGACGCCCGACCTCGGCCGCCATATCTTCTACGTCTGCGCACTAGTCTCCCCGGCGCGTGTGTCGGGTCATCAGCGCGTCCCTCCCCCAACTCCGCCCCCCCGACTTCCTTTGCGGGGCGATGGTGTCACCTAGCGGCGGGGAGGAGGTAGGGCTCGGGCGAGCAGCGAGGCACATAATTGATGCACCTAGTAGACTGGGACTGGCTGGGTCACTACAAAAAATAATTTTCCCTCTGTTGATACTCACCCCTTCTTGTCAACTGCTGGGAATGGGCCACATCCACCCTCACTGAATTGGCCTCGTTAGCACTGACACCCCCCCGCCCGCCACGCACAGTGGTGAAGTTAGGCACCTGACCTGTGCAACTTTTTGCAGGTTTGTGGCTGAATCCTATAGGGTGGCTTGGGTTAAGAAAGAACTAGAAGTTAGGTTTTGAGGTCTAAGTTAGCCCAAGCGTGCAGGGGTATGCGAAACTGAAGTTGCTAGTGTGAGAAAAGTTAAAGATAAATTGGGGACAGAGTGTTATGGGAAAGTAAGAGTTAGCAAAGCCATGATCCAGGGTTATGTTACCATTTTGTTTTGGTTATAACTGAGTTAAACAAGGTATTTAATCAGTATTTTTGAGAATTGTGAATGTTTCATTAAAATATCTATATTGATAGTATGGGAAGGACATTGGTGCAGATGTTAATTTAAATAATGTGTAATGTAAAGAGCCAATAAGAAGGTGGCAGAAATATAATGATGGTAAAGGGCAGTTTAATGTTAATTAATATTATAATAAAGTATAAAAGGAGTAGTTTTGCTAAATTTCAGGAGAGCTTCAATGAACATGCAAAGGGTATTGTTAAGTTCCTGGATATGGCTGTACATCATTCTGTTGTCAGTGGACGGATCACTCATTGATACACCATTTCATCTTTGAGTGTGAGTATAATCATAGTACTGTGTAAGTAGTAATTGCGTGCTTGCTTAATTAATTATTTTTCTTTTTTATAAGCTTTGATTGTATCATTCAAAGTGTCGCCTGGTGGTCCTCTATTAAATAAATGTTCTGTAACCAAACTAGAAGCTTAAACCTGAAAACTGTTAGGTTTTATTACACTCTTATCTTTATCAACTTAATCCAGCATTTCAATGTACAGGTTACAAGAGGTCTACAAACCACCTAAGATAGCAAACAGCTACAAAGCTCTGTTTTTTGCCCCTTATACAATATTGCCAAACTTAAGTGAACAAAAATCATGACACTGGTTTGCAAATCGTGAGATTGGCTTAAAATCATGATTTTTTTAACAATGAGGTGTCTTTGGTTTTTTGAGCTTTCAGGGTTCATAGTGGCAAGCTTTTATCTGCTAGACTTTTAAAAACAAAAGCTGAAATTCTCCCATAATCACATGCCATCGAATATCGTAAGACTTGTGATCAAAGTGTGCAAATTGGCAACAGTTCCTATGTGGCTTTGGCTTGGACAGTTGCTGGGCCATGCAACCCATCACATTTACTGAAGGCAAAGGGCAGTACTCCTGTAAACTAACTACCCGGGGTCACAGGGTGGCTGGCTCTGTAACAGGAGCTGGGCCCAGCCTCACCTTGAGAGACAAACTGCCTCTCAGCTGAGACTGAGATCAGTGAGAGAGCAGGTGATTCTAAAAGCCAGCAAGTGGCTCAGTTGGAGAAAGAGATGCAAGGAGGGGGAAGGCCCCTGCAGGAGACCATGGACAGGGAGGATGTGGGGATGTGGACAGCTGGAGCCGGGTGATTCAGGTGAGCAGCCAGTAGAGTAGCTGCCTGTAGGGAATTAATTTGCAAACTGGATACAATTAACTTAGGCTTGAATAAAGACTGGGAATGGATGTGTCATTACACAAAGTAAAACTATTTCTCCTTGTTTCTTTCCCCTCCTACTGTTCTGGTAAAGTGCTGGAAATGGCCCACCTTGATTATCACTAGGAAAGGTCCATCCCCTCCTGCTGGTAATAGCTCACCTTAAGTGATCACTCTCGTTACAGTGTGTATGGTAACACCCATTGTTTCATGTTCTCTGTGTATTTAAATCTCCCCACTGTATTTCCCACGGCATGCATCCGATGAAGTGAGCTGTAGCTCACGAAAGCTATGCTCAAATAAATTGGTTAGTCTCCAAGGTGCCACAAATCTTCCTGTTCTTTTTTAGAGATCCTTGGGGCAGGGATGCAAGGGGGGGTACTGATGGGCTGCCCTAGTTTTCTGGGGCAGGTATAAAGCTGATGTGCTGAGCCAAGGGCCTGGCTCAGACTCTGGGTTGGCGTTGCGCTGGGCTAGGCCGGGGACCCACGCCCTGCTCTCTGGCTCCAGGCCACCGCACCAGCCCGCAGAGCCTGCGGCTTTACCCAGCCCCCTGGATTCTGTGGGGCCGGGCTAAGGGGCTGCAGTCAGGGGGGGCGGGGGGGCACTGAAGCAGCAGCTTGGGGGTCTGGATGGGAGTCAGGGGAGAAGGGCCCAGCCCCCAGGTGGGGGGATGGGTGAAGGGCTACGCTGGGCATGGAGGAGGCAGGGCAGGGGTGTGTGTGTGTGTTGGGGGGGTGTCAGCCACAACAGCCGCCCCTGCGGGGGCGGGGAGGAGTGAGGATATAGCGCATGCGCATCTCTGTTGACTCCCACCCTCTCGACGCTCCGCACATGCGCTGTCCCCCCCCTTCCTTTCTTGGAGGACTGACGTCAGCCCTCCGGCCGCAGGGAGGGGAGCGCCGGCCCCGCGCTGAGCACGCCGGGAAGTCGACGCCCAAGATGGCGGCAGGATTGAAAAGTTGTTGCCGCGGCTGCTGAGTCGGCGGCGGTGGCGGCCGGGGCTGGCGGGAGGGAGCGCGGCTGGCGGGGCGCGGGCCGTCCATGGCCGCCCGGTGAGGGGGCGCTCGGCCGGCCGCCGACGGGGCGGGGATGCCCCCGGGGGGCCGGGGCCGCAGGAGGCAGCAGGAGCCCGGGGCCGCCCCCGCCCCCCGCCTGAGACATGGAGGATGAGGGCAAGAAGGGCAAGAAGGTGAGAGCGGGGCCGGGCCGCGACCCTCCCCCAGGCCGCTCTAGCCACCCGTCCCGGGCCGCGTCCCCTGCTCCCCGGGGGCTGTGCCCAGGTCCGGAGCCCCCAGGCTGCGCTGACGCTTCCTCCTGGGCTGTGGCTGGACCCGCCCTGGCCCTGTCGCCGGCCCCCGCGCAACCCAGAATGGAGGGGCCGACACTGCTGCCCCTCCCCCTAAGCTGTGATCTCCTCCACGGCGGCGCCCCCTCCCCCCCCCACCCCCGGTGGCTCTGACTCGGCCGCCCTCTGCCCCATGGTGGCTGTATTCCCTCCTCTCCCCAGCCTTCCCCAGGCTGGCGCTGCTGAACCCTGGCGCTGCCCTCCCGTATCTCGGGTCTGCTAACCCTCCCCTGACGCTGCCCAACGTTATCCCAAGGCTGCTGTATCTTCCCTCTCCCTAGCCTGAGGCTGCCCCCGCCCCAGTGTTGCTAAACCCTTCCCCCCCCCCCCCCCCCCAGCCCTGCTCCTGTACCTTTCCCCTCCCCATCACTGCCCCTGAGGCAGCAGGGATTAGTGCCTCTTGTGGAGGGTGCACTTCCTTTCTCTCTCTCTCTCTTTCTCCCCCTTAGTCTCTCCAGGCTGTCCCCCCCCTTTCTCCAGTGCATGAAGCCTATTTCTCACTGCCCTCATATGCCCCAGGCTGCTCTCAAGCCCGATCTGGCCCTGGCCAGGCTTGCTCCATGGCTGCACTCCCAGCTGGGGCCCTATGAATGACCCACTGGTGGGGATGAGTGACCTAAAGCCCCCCAAACCTGTTCTTGCAAAATGGAAAGAGCTAAAAATCTTCCTTTAAATGAACCTTGCTTGTGGGAGTCTGTCTCCCAGGTGAATGGGACTTGGACAGATGCTTGGACAGAACAAAGCAACAAGTGGATGCATAGCAAAATCACAGCTAAGAGCTGTCATGTGTCTGCAATGGAAGTAATCTGTGATGGCACAGGAGACTGCATGGGACCCTTACCTGTTTAGATTACAATACCTTATATGTTTCAGAGTAACAGCCGTGTTAGTCTGTATTCGCAAAAAGAATACAGTACTCCACAAGTACTCCTTTTCTTTTTGCGAATACCTTATATGTGGCTGAAATGCCATGTGAATGTTACACCTTTCTAATGGGGGGTGTGGTGTGGTGTTTTTTTTTCTTTCCCTGTGAAGTGCCTTATGCTCTTGAGACTGGTACTTCCCAAGAGTATGGTGCTAGCTAACGCTTGCAATTAATAATTTTCCTAATTGGGTTTAATGAAAGAGCTGGAAACTATGCCACTATTCTTGCAAGTCTGTATGCTTGAGTTAATGAGGTAGATTGACCTAATTATTGTAAATACCCAATTCAGCATTTTCATAAAACCATGACTGCTCATAGAGGGGAGTGCCTTGTCTATGTAATAGTTTTAGAAGGGTCTTCTTTAGAATACAGCATTAGATTTGTACTATGACTTCCATTTTTCATGGTCTCTCTAGATAAACTCTAGACTCAGACTTGCAGTTCAGTTTCAGAAAAGACATGTTTTCTTTCTTTGTGTGGCTATAGTGCTCGTGAAAGGTGCCAACTTGACAGCCCTGGAGACTGCAATCCTCTAGACCAAGTACAGCAGCAGTACAAGTCTCCACACTGCTTCACCAATGTCACCAAACACCTAGAGACCACTTCTAAGGGTCAGAGGATAGCTTAGTCTTTGTGCCTCTTTGCTGAAACTGGCAACAGGACAGTCAATTAATGCCAAGATGTCTTAAAACTGTATAATCCTACAAGAACACTGTACTTCATCTGTGTTGTAACCTGTTACTGTAACTCCCCATGCCTTTAAAAAAAAAACAAACGGGGAAAAAAAACTAAGGGTGTAACTCCCACAAAGGTAGGGTGGCTGTTCAAGTGAAACCTTAAGCAAACCTAACTTAGCACTGACTTGG